AGATAAGCGCCGGTGTCCCACCCGTTCGTTTTCTTCAGTGTGGGAGCCACCATGGCTGGCTCATAGTCGCGGTAGGTGTGTCTGCAGGGGGCGGAGGGGGGTCACAACCATCTGTAACCCCATCTCCAGGGGATCCAATACACTCTCTGGCCTCCGCAGACACCCACCCGCACGGCCACACATACATGTAAATAAGTTAAAAAATGCTACAGGGTAAAATAGTATCAAACACAAAACGGAATTTATTTTAACATACCAGTATTCTCAATTGTCAGTCTTTTCATAACAGAAATATGCTTTTTAAAAAAAGTTATCTCTAAATAATAGCCAACTAACCTGAAACACGCGTTATTTCATCTTTAATGTCCTTAATCTCAGCTTGGACGACTGTTAAATTAGATATTTTTTCCTTTAAGAAAGCAATTTCTTTGTGTCTTTGAATTAAATCAGAACCTAGCCTCCCGATGCGCAGTGTCAAATCGTTTACCAGCGGCTCCAGACGCAGAGAGTCCTTCTTCAGACTGTGCACTTTTGGTTTTAGGTCATTGGCAAAGGCCACTGCTTTCAGAACTTTAGCTCTGTCACTTTCCAAGCTTAGAAATCTATCCGAGTGCTTGTCGAAATCCCCCTGGAGCTCAGCGAGCCTCTTGGTGACTGAGTCGATCCTTCTGGAATTTTCACTCGCAGTCCTTCGGAGTGCCGCTGTGCGGTCGATGCTGCTTGACAGAAGGCCACCTATATTTTCGACTGTAGCCGTTTCTACTTTCCCGACCTTACTTCGCAGTTCTTGCACAGAGTCTGTTAGAGAGGCGACTTCAGCTACTAAACCGGAAATGCGGCGTATATCAGTCTTCACACTTGAAATCTTGAGGCCCACATCTCTGGCCGCAGAAGTTGTACCTTGGTCTACTTTTGCAATGTCTTGAGAAAGGCTTGCTAGCGTGTTCTTCAGCACACCATGCTTCTCAGTTACCCTGTCAGACCAAATTTTCATCTCATGAACTTCTTCCTGCAGGAGCTTCAGCTGCGCCATTATTTGAAAAGCCTTTAGTTGTCCCACGAGAGCCTCATGTTTCTGATACTATAAGGAAATATAATACCACAGTGATTAAATTAGTCAAAATCTGACATTTAAAATTTGACATTTAACATTCATGTGTGTTCTTTTTTCTTCTTTTCCTCTTGACTTTACTGCTGTCCGGGAAAGCATAAGGTGAAAGACGGCTCTGCAAGCCAGCCTTGGGCTGGGGACACTCTGGGTTTCAAATCCCAGCAGTGAAAAAAACATAAAACAAAACAAAATAAAAATCTCCAACAGGATTTAGAAAAGAGGATTTAAAATAATTCAAGTGTATTGCTAATGAATAAGGAAAGTACTCAGCACATTTCATATGACATTATTGGAAATGACGTATCTTGATGTTCTTATACCATTGGCCCCTCATAAAGTAAGAGAATGAGCTAACGGAGACAGGGCTGTGTTTTCTCCACAGCTAGAGAAGGGAAGAACCCTCGAGATACGAGATAGGAGATATGAGATAGGAGATACGGAGACAACATAACAACGTAACCTCATTTTCTTTGTTTTTGCCCTTTTTTTCTTTTCTTTTTTTTAAAGACAGGCCTTGCTATGTTGCCCAAGCTGGACTCAAATGATCCTTCTGTCTGAGCTTTCTGGATAGCCTGACTACCTATGACAGCTGTCACTCCTGGCTTTTCTTTCTTTGCGGTACTGGAAACCAGAACCAAAGACTTGTGCACGCTTGATAAAGTCTGCTATTATTATTATTATTATTATTAATTTAAAGATACCATCTTAAATCTTGCATGCAGTCCAGAGTGGTATGAAACTCCAGATCCCTCCACAAATAAAGTCTTATTAAGCTACTGCAGGCATTTAAAATGCTTTATTAAGATATAACGGGGTGCAGGAGAGAGTGCTTGCTGATCTTCCAGACCAATGAGCTTGGTTCTCAGTACCCATGCTCCAGCTCCAGGGGACCCCAATCTCCCTGCCTCCATGGCTACCCGTGTAGACGGCAGACACACGGGAACACACATACACATACATTTTTGGGAATCTTTAAGAATGATATTAGGCAGGCCTATTGAGGTGCTCAGTGGGCCAAGCTGCTGTTGCTTGGGACCCACCTGATAGATGCTGTAGCTTTCTCCTGACAGGAAAGCAGTTTGGTCAAACAGCTCCATGCTGCATACATAGTACATGCAAGTAGGATCGGGCGGTTTTTCATTTCGGTGTTTGTTATTTAGTTTTGGAACCAGATAGTCAAGAAACTGATTTTTTTTTTTCTTTTTGAGACCAGGTTTCTCTGTTCTGGAACTAACTTTGTAGATCTGCCTGTCTCTACCTCCCGAGTGCTGGGATCAAAGGCGTATACCACCATGACTCGGACAAGAAACTGATTCTTTAAAACTCAGAAAAAAGACATGGAAAAAAAAAAAAGAAGTCATGAAGGCTAAAGACATTTTTCATAAGATATGCAGTTTAACCTTCAGGCATCAGGTATTTTTCTAGAGTAACTATACATATCTTCAATGTTTTGATGAGTCATCATTCTTAGGTCATACTGGCTTACTCAGTTACCTTTTTGAGATTATTCTGGCTCACACACATGTAGTTTAGCTAAGGAAAAAATGTAATGTGCTGAGTCTTTTGTGTGTGTAGGTTGGAAGTCAATGTGTGTCTTAAGTGTTTATTACTATTGTTCTTCATGTTTTTCTTTTATTTGTTTATTGGAGACAGGGTCTCACTATGTACCTTTGGCCTGAAATGTCCTAGGTTGACCAGATTCATCTGCCTTTGCCTCCTGAGAGCTGAGATCAAAGGCTTGTGCCACCACACATGGCACTACCTTATTTTTTGAGACAAGGTCTTTCTATGACCATTGAGCTCACCGACTGGCTTGACTGACTGGCCAGTAGGCTAGGCTCCTAGGTTCATCCTGTCTCTATCAAGAGCTGGAATAAAGACATGCCCTCTGTACCCAATTACAAAAGATTTATTTATTTTATTATGTATACAATGTTCTGTCTGTATGCACGCCTGCCTGCCAGAAGAGGGCATCAGATCTCATTATAGATGGTTGTAAGCCGACAAGTGGTTGCTGGGAATTGAACTCAGGACCTCTGGAAGAACAGCCAGTGCTCTTAACCTCTGAGCCGTCTCTCCAGCCCTCTCTACCCAATATTTGAAAAGCAAATTAAAAAAGATTTGTTTTGTTTTTTGTTTGTTTTCCAGACAGGGTTTCTCTGTGGCTTTGGAGCCTGTCCTGGAACTAGCTCTTGTAGACCAGGCTGGCCTTGAACTCACAGAGATCTGTCTCCCAAACGCTGGGATCAAAGGCGTGTGCTCCCACCCACCCCGGCAAGGAAGTTTTTTTACGTGTGTATATATACCTGTGTTAGTTTGGGTATATTGCACAGATTAGGAGCTTAGGGCCTCAGATGCCTTGGAAATGGAATTACACGGAGCTGTGGGTCTCCATGTGGGTAGTCCTGGGAGCTATTTGAGCTATTTCTGAATCCTTTGCAAGCACTCTTAACCACTGAACCATCTTTACACCCAAATTCTATGTGGGTGGTGGGGATGCAAACTCAGGTTCTCAGCGTTACCCACTGATGTTGTAACCTTAGTTCCCAGGATGGTATTTTGAATGCAGAAGGGTCAGGGCTATCTGCTGAAGTGAGGTACACCAGTTAACCCCTGCTCCGCCACATGTTTGGTTTCAGTGTACATTTGACTTTGACCCTAAGTAGCTTTATGCTTTGTCAGTGACTGCTGGAGTAGGTGACCCAGGGTGTGGTTTTGATAGAGAAGCCTGCTTTGTTGAGAAGCCTCCTCCCATGGGTGAGAGGACTAGAGGGCTTTTTGTCCATTTTATCACTAGACTGTCATTTGCTAATGTATCTACTTCTGTGGAGTAAGCATAGCTTAACAGTATGGCTTGACTAAGACAGCTCAGAAAGAGCTCATTCTTAGGAGGCCGGGCCACTATGGAGTTGCTTTGATTCATTTAGTGGCTTGGAAGACGATTTATTATGAACTTCTAAAATGGAAACTCAATACAATGTGCTAACAGACTAGAATGGTGAAGCCTTTTTTTCTCCACTTTTGTTATACTCTTCCTCCCCCTCTCTCCTACCCGCCCTTCCTTTCCCGGGCTGGGGATGAAGTTCAGGTTGCATGTGATAGGCAGGTGCTCTCCTCTAAGCTACATCCCTAGCTATCCTGTTACATTGTTGTATGTATGCATGCATGTATGTGTACGTGTGTGTGTGTGTGTGTGTGTGTGTGTGTGTGTGTGTGTGTGTAGAGATAGAGTCTCAGGCAGTCCTGGTTGAGCTATGTATTTGAGGATGACCCTGAATTTATGATCTTCTTGCTTCTATCTCCCAAGTGTTCAGACCTGGTTTTATGCTGTGCTGGGGCTAGAACCCAGTGCTTCAGGAATGCTAGGTAGACACTCAATCAGTTGAGCCCTATCTCCAGCCCCTCCTGTAATTTTTTTTTACTATATGTGTACTGGTGTTTTGTCTGCACGTGTAGCCATGTATCATGTACATGTGTGGTGCTTGTGGAGGTCAGAGGGTAGCAGCGAATGCCCTGGAACTGGAGTCACAGTTGTGAGCTGCCACGTGGTGCTGGGAGAGGATCCAGGTCCTCTGGAAGAGCAGTCAATGCCTATGGAGGCCAAAGGAGGACACTGGATCCCCTAGATGTGGGTTACAGGTGACTGCGAACAGCTTTGTGCGGTGCTGACTCTGGCTCTCTGCAGGAGCCACGTGCACTTTTAACCACAGAGCTATCTCTTCAGCCTCTCTTTCTGCAAAGCATTTGCTCTTTGTGTCCTGCTATGTAGCCCAGCTTAGCCATGAACTTGGACTCTTCCTGCTTCAACCTGGAGTTACAGACATGCCCCACCAGGCCTAACTGTAAAAATGCTTTATCCGTGCTGAAAATTTAAATAAATGGACAGTACTTTCTATAAGCAATTGTTATAAAATTTATTATCAGTGACAGAGATACAAAAATGTGCATTAGAATATTGGTAATTTTCATAAAATACAACAAAATGAAGCCTGTGCCATTACATTTACCTGTGACCCTTATTACCTGAGATGCAGAAGCAGGGAGATGGTGAGATAAGACTAATCTGGGCTACATATCAAGACCTTGTCTCAAAAAATAAAATAAAAAGCTCCAAATCACACAACAAAGAAAAAAAGGAAGATTCAGTAAATGTATCTAGATCTCTCCAGTGACAATTTTGGTAAATAGGAAATTAAAAACATTTATTTTATTTTATGCATGTGTTCTGTGCACCACATGCATGCCATGCCTGATGTCTGCAGAAGCCAAAAGAATATTCTAGATACCCTGGAAGCTGAGTTACAGATGGTTATGCGCCGTCATGTGGATGCAGGAAATCAACCCCTGTCTTCTTTAAGAACAACCGGTACTCTTAACCATTGAGTCATCTCTTCAGCCCCAGAGCAAATTCCTTTCTTTCTTTTTTTTAAGATTTATTCACTAATTATGTATACAATGTTCTCTGCAGGTCAGAAGAGGGCATCAGATCTCATTATGGATGGTTGTGAGCCATCATGTGGTTGCTGGGAATTGAACTCAGGACTTCTGGAAGAGCAGCCAGTTTCCTTAACCTCTGAGCCATCTCTCCAGCCCTCTTTTTTTTTTTTTTTTTTTAAGTTTTTCTAGACAGGGTTTCTTTGTGTAGCTTTGGCTGTATTGGAACTTGCTCTGTAGACCAGGCTGGCCTCGAACTCAAATTTCTTAGCAAAGGAATATAAAGACACAGCTATTTCGATAGTCTTCTCCTGTAGTATTTGCGTCCTTCTCTGCCTCCCAGTGCTGGCATTACAGGTAGCACGGCTAGGCCCAGCCTTTTATGTCAGTGCTGCGTAAAGTCAGGCCCTCATAATTTCATGGCCAGCACTTCACTTATGAGCTATCCTAGCCTTATTACTACTGTCATTATTTTTTTTGAGATGCAGTCTCACTATGTAGAACAGGGTGGCCTTGAACTCATAGATCTGCTTGCCTTTGCCTCCTGAGTGCTGGGATTAAAGGCATGTGCCACCATGCCTAGCTCCAGCCCTAATTTTTTAAAAAATAAAATCAGTATGTAAAGCAAACTTAGTTTCATAAATTGAGGAAACTTTAAAATAACAACATAAATATGTTAAATTATCACAACTTATAGTTCTGTTGTTTTATCTTTAAAACAGGCTTACTGGTATATTTTTAGGTATCTCGTGGTTGTATGTAGTAAACACTAATATCACACAGTGCAAACTTCTGAAATTAAAGTTCAGGTTCACAAAAGTACACACTCCATGAGCTCAAACTTCAAAGCGTAACCAGTTACCAGAAAAGGTGTTATTGAGGATAAAGTAAGAACATATTTACTCACATTTTAAGCTTCTTACAAGTTTCTGTAACACAGTTTAGAACCTTTGCAAAAAGGAAAGTATTTCCCAGGCGCCAGTTTTCAGAATGTGGCGTTACCTCACAGAAGAACCCCCAGGCTCTCCTGCAGCAGGCACATTACCTTTTATTTTGCAGAAAATTCCTATGAACTTGGTTGTCTGAATAGAAAATACTGGCAGAGGCAGGTGTGCTATCAATGACTGCAAAATCAGGTGATAGAAGAGGCATGAGAAACAGACACAGTTTGAAAAACAGAAAACTAGGGTCACATAGTGAAATGTAAATAGTCTCAATATTTGCTACAGTTATCTATATGTGGGTATCTGTATATCTATATACACATATATATGTATCTAGTAGAATAAATACAATTCATAATAGTGTCAATAATAATGTCTGTTAAATACTGACTGGAAAGACATGCAAATATTAAATATATTGTCTGAAATGTAGAGCAATATATATTTTAGAACTATTTCTTTTTTCATTTTCTTTGTGTCTTCCTCCCTTTCTCTTTTACTTTCTTTTGGTTTTTTGAGACCGGGTTTCTCTGTGTAGCCCTGACTGTCCTGGAATTCCCTCTGTAGACCAGGCTGGCCTTGAACTCAGAGATCCACCTGTTGCTGCCTCTGTGTGCTGGGATTAAAGGTGTGTGCCACCACCTCCCAGGAGAGCTCTTGCTCTTTAAGATGGTGAAAATCAGTTTTGATTTTAAAGAGATAAACGTCTATACCCCATGTGGTCCATCCTCCACTTGTGCTCTAGTAAAGTGAGTCGGGGCAAATGACTGGAACTGTGCAGCCGACCCATTCCCACTTAGTAAAGAGTCCATCGGGAGATGGGCAGTGGACCTAATGATCGCCAGTTCCCTTATTCTCTAGGTTGTATGTCTCCAAAGCCTGCTTTTCTCTTGCATCTGAATATGCTATGAAATCATGAATTTTTCCTTTCAGAACAACCAGTTCGTTTTGCATCTTTAATATGCTATTGTCATACTGCATTCCCTCAAGGGTTTTCTGCATCTCCATTATTTCAGACACTGCCCTTAGCATATCGTCTTCCATGTTAAACATCTGCATAGTAAGCTCTTCCATTTTCTTTTCTGTCCCCATCAGATCCTGAGAGACTCTGAGAACAGAGTGGACTGCATTTTCTATAGCTGGCAAATGTGCCTTGCATTCTTCAACTTTGGGTTCGTAGTTGGAGAGTTTGTTGGTCAGAGCTGCATCTCTGGCTAGGAGTGAGTGCTGTTCTTCTTCTAGCTTCTCAACTGCTTTTGTGTCAGAGCTGAGGTGTGTCTCTATTTGGAGAAGGTCTTCCTCTTCTTGCCTGCTTACTGTTTTGATGTTTCGCAGTGTGCTGTCTTCCAAATCTTTTAGCCGTTCTGTGAGCAATTTCATTTCTTGCTCAGCTGAGTTGATTTTCACGGTAACTTGAGAATGTATATGCTTTGCTTCTGATTTGAAAATGGTTGTATTATCGCTCATTTCTGCCAGGGTTCTCTTCCAGAAATCTGTAATGTTCTGGAATTTCTCACTAAGGTTTTGCATCTTTTGTGTGAGTATCTCTTCACTATTCTCAATGTCATGTATGGATCTTTGGAGGCCAGATACTTCCTGTTCAAACTGGGTCATCAAAGCCATGGATGCTGTGGCTTCCTGCAGGATACTTTCAGTAGACTCAAGCTGCATTTACGACACAAACAATCCTGAGCTTCTTAATCACTTTCATATCAGAGAAACATACAAGGTTCAAATTCCTAAAATATTTGAGTACATCACAATCACATAGACAGAAAATTTATCATTAGTAGTTTTTGACAAATTTATTAGAGTAGCACTATGTTGGAAATGTATACTTGAACTCATAATCCTAGTTAAATAAATGTTTTTCATGAGGGCACAGTCAAAAGAAATGTTATCAGATTCTGAAGTATATTGAAGTTTCTTTTTTCATGAAAATGGAAAGTAACATAGAGGCCATTTTTATGGCTATTTGGCTTTTAGGAAACTTCAACCGTGTAAATTTGCTACTTCTCCTGAATCCTATGATTTTGTACATTTCTGGCTGAATCATTATTATTATTTTTGCTAACCTCTTGCAGAGAAAGAACTGGACTGCAGAAAAACAAAAATGAATTCTTATAAAAATAGTTGAGACAAGTTACCTCAAATGGCAGTGTTTATTTGCAGATCAGGATAAGCCTCTAGGGCCTCTTAGAATGGGCTGGGATATTTGGAAGGGCCATGCCATGGATCCTACTAGTCTCCACTCTCATATGTATAAAAGGTTTAGAGATCATGAAAAGACCTAGGAGTAATTATTAAGCTATCAAACGTTTGCGGCACTGTCCTGAGACAGTTTACTCGGGAGCAAAGGAATCTGCATGCACTGTGACAAGGGGAGACATTTGGAAGCACTCAGGCAGAGTGCTGACCCAGACGTCAGAGACCAAGCACAGCACTCCAGAAGAGCCATGTAGTATAACTTCCAGAAAGAGACCACATCTTACATTTTTGTTGTGGTTTTTATCCCAAATATCAAGAGTACAAAGAACACATTTCTTTCTTTCTTTTTTGCATTTTTAATTTTATGTGCATACATGTTTTGCCACCATGCATGTATGTGCATTGTGTGTATGCAGACTTCAGAACAAGGCATGGTGGAGTTGGAGTTAATAGATGGCAGTGAGCCTCCATGTGGGTGCTGGGAACTGAACCTACATCCTGTGGTAGGGCAGCCAGTGCTCTTAACCACTGAGCCATCTCTCCAGCACCCAGGATCACATTTCTTGGTGAACATGGAAGATGATATTATCCTGAGTCAGTATCTGAAATAATGGAGATGCAGGAAACCCTCAAGGGAATTTAGTATGGCAATAGCTTTCTGGGACCATCTGAACAAAGGCTGGTTACCATGTAGAACAGGCCAGCCTTGCGCTCACAGAGACCACCTGCCTCAGCCTACAGAGTGCTGGGATTAAAGGTGTGTACTACATGTCCAGCTAGAGCAATCAATGCTTTCTAGGAACTAACTTGGATTTTGGGGAGAATGTCAGGAAGTAGGAAGCCCATTTAGGAGTTAAAATAATGACTTTAAAGAAGCTTTGATCTGAAGTGTGAACACAGTAGTTGGGAAGATGGGTGCATCTCCTCCAAGCAAGTAAATGAGTGGATTACCTTGTCTGAGATTAAACTGATTTTATTCTGTAGTCCTTGAAACCCGCTGCTTTCTATTTGCAGTAACTTGTATTGGCTTTCCATCTTCGAAAATTTTTCTGATTGTTGAAATACAAGCCTGGAAAAGAGGGAAATAGCACCTGTCACTCACTTCTGATCAGAATAACATGCATTCTCAAATGGCTGCTGCAGTGTTTGTCAACTGACTTCACTCAGGTGGCCTACTGTGTGCAGGGGATGGGATTAACTCAATCTCAGGTGGCCTACTGTGTGCAGGGGGTGGGATTAACTCAACCTCAGGTGGCCTACTGTGTGCAGGGGATGGGATTAACTCAATCTCAGGTGGCCTACTGTGTGCAGGGGATGGGATTAACTCAATCTCAGGTGGCCTACTGTGTGCAGGGGATGGGATTAACTCAATCTCAGGTGGCCTACTGTGTGCAGGGGATGGGATTAACTCAATGCAAAGATGAGCTGACCCTCTCTTCAGGGTTCATAGCTCAGTGAGTGAGGCAGAGACTGGCATCTCTAAAAGATGTACAAAAAAGAGATATTTTGGAAGAAATCAGGATTGAAAGGATTGAACTATTTGGAATAAAAACTCTGATCTCAGTCCCCGGCACTACTAAGCTATTGCTCCTCAAACTATCATCCAGACTGCAGTATGCTCACCTGTAATTGTGTCATTTAGGGAGGTAGAGGCAGGAGGACCATAAGTTCAAGGCCATCCTCCAATACATAGTAGAAGCTTAATGGCCAACTGGGGCGACATGAGACTCAGTCTATAGAAAAATTATGAAGAGACAAAAATACAGAAGAGAGCCATTATCAAAGTGATAGATATTCATGCAAAGCAGGCTGTAAAAACTGTATTTGATTATACGCAACCTTCTGCTCATAGGTATACTGTAGATGTCATTCTAAAATGAGGGCTCAGGGGTGTAGGGAGATGGCTCAGTGGGTAAAGTGCTGAGCATGGATGATCCCCAGCACCCACATAGAAAGCTGGGCTTGGTGATACCCTTGTAATCCCAGAGCTGGGGAAGCAGACACAGAGGACCAGTCGGCCTGAGCAGATCTTAGTGGGACACCCTGTCTCAAAAAGCAAGGTTGCACACGCACACGCACTCACATGCACACTCACTCACATGCACGCTCATACAGCCACGCAGAAAATGAAGTCAGGGTATAGATCAGGGGTAGGAGGGTGCTTATCTGACAGGCTCAGGATTGAAGCTAGCACATAGGCAAACAAATTGGGAGTTTTCTCTACATCTGGTAAATAGCAAAGAGTAGAAGCAAACGCATTGAAAAAACAAATATATCTTTGGAGAGATTGCTCAGTGCATAAGGGCACCAAGCTGCTCTTGTGGAGGACACAGGTTTGATTCCCAGCACCCCCATGGTAGCTCACAACTGTCTGTAGCTGCAGTTCCAGGGGACCCAATGCCCTCTTCTCACCCACACTGGAGCCAGGAACACATGTGAAGCACATACATATAGGCAAAATACTCATACGATTAAAAAAAAAAAAAACCTGCACCAATCTCTAAGAATCTGATGCTTTAGCCAGACACCTTATCCTAATCTCTGAAACAGTAACTGAACATACTTTTGAAGACTTGAAACAAGAATGCACAAAAGAAATGCCTTAGGTTTAATATCGTTTTGGTTATCTACTTTAGCTCACTTCTCCAAGCTCAGAAAAGGGAGTTTACCCTTTTTGTACACCGAGTCATCAAAAAGCAACAGAGCAGAGTCTTGAGAAGTACCTAAGTCACATGATCTGTATTAGTGGTTGCTAATCTTCCCTGCATATTGGAATCAATTACCAGACAGCTTTAACACATCCATGGCAGAGATTCTTAATTTGTCATGGTCATGGCTTGGATACTGAATATTCTAACAGCTTCTCCAGCAATCTGAGTATGCAGCCAAGCTGAGGGATCACTTACTGATAATATGTATTTTTTTTTTTTCCGAGACAGGGTTTCTCTATGGCTTTGGATCCTGTCCTGGGACTTGCTCTGTAGACCAGGCTGACCTCGAACTCACAGAGATCCTCCTGCCTTTGCCTCCTGAGTGCTGGGATTAAAGGTGTGTGCCAGCAACGCCGGGCCTTATCATATTTTATAATACTTTTTCAGCGAAAGATAAGAGATGCCAAAAGCTCTGGATCCCCAGTGCATGGGAGAGGGTTAGAGACAAGGGGATCATTGGCCAACTGGTGAGTTCTAGGTTCAGGGAGACTCTGTCTCAAAAAAGAACAAGATCGGGAGTGCTGGGCATACATGCTGGTGTGTGGCCTCCGTATGTGTACACCATGCACCTGCATGTGTCACACCCACACACACATACACCCATATACAAAGAGCTTTTGATTTGCTGTGTTATAAAACATTTACAAAAAATAAATATTCAGAGAATCTTCATACCGGACTTATGTAGTTAGTGTAAGAGGCTTTCTATCTTATTTAGTAAAGTCCTCACATTTAAAAAAGTAAAAAAAAAAAAAAAAAAACAAAACAAAACCAAAAACTATTATGTACATGGTCATATGTACCACTCAGGGCGAGGAGAGGTCAGAAGGCAACTTTGGGATGCCGATTCTCTGTTTCCACCATGGGAGCACCAGAGGTGTACTTCCCACTTTTGGTGGTAAATATGCCTGGACCATTTCACATGCCTAAATTCCAACATTTTAACTTTCTGAAAGCACACTATTTATTTGTGTATGTGTGTATGATAGCTAATATTGGTTGTCAACTTGCCTACATTTGGAATCAACTTCCAATCTCGTTACTTCTGTGAGGGGTTTTCTTAATCAGATTATTTGAAGGATGGAGTCCCACCCTAAGTCTGGGCTACTCCTGGTGGCAGTCCACATGAAAGGTCATGGAAGATGGGAACTTTGCATTTTGCCTGCCTGTCCTCACTCTCACTGGCAAGTTCATCTATTCTGCTGCTGAGGCTGGTATTAAATTAGCTTCCTCAGGACTCCAATGTAGACTGAAGCCCAGCATCTCTCCAGGAGTTCTCCAGGGCTCCAGTGCCACATCTGGACTATCGAGATATCCAGTGTCATGGACTGAGCAATCACTGTATTTGCAGCCTTTCTGTTGTGAGACAGCTATTGGACTACTCGGAACACAATCCATAGGCCATTCTAACAAACTCCCTTTAACACACACACACACACACACACACACACACACACTCCTAACAATTCTGTGCTTTAGAGAACCCTGATTGATTGTGTGTGTGTGTTTTCTCATTGAGACAGTTTCTCTGTGTAGCCCTGGCTGTCCTGGAATGAACTCACTCTATACACCATATTTTACATTGGTATGGGCTTCTGTATATAGATACAAATTTAAAATTATTTTTGTTAGAACATACTCTATACTGTGGTGATATATTATTTATGACTTATTAAGCTTGCCTGAGGGTTCAGGATGCAAAGCCAGCCACAAACTACAGAGATCAGGCAGTAGTGATACACACCTTTAATCCCAGTAGCCATACTAGCCAGCCATAGACTTGGTGGTGGTGGCACACACTCTTAATCCCAGGACTCAGGAGACAGGCAGATGGATATAACTGAGCAACACAAAACTGACCCAGCTCTAAAGAGAAACAGCTCACGCAAAGGTGATCTCAGCACTTGGGATCACACGCCTTTTAATCCCAGTACTAGGGTGGTATAAAAGTAAGAAGAAAAGGGTCTCATGAAATAATTTGTCTCTAGCCACACTGAGGAGAGGCAGCAGTTTGGGGTTGTAGTCTGAGGCTTGGTGAAAACAGGACTGCCATTTCAGTCTGAGGTACAGGTAAGAGCCAGTGGCTGGCCGCTTTGCTTATCTGACCCTCAGTTTGTCTCTGGGTCTTTTATTATTCATGTTACACTATATGTTTCTACTCTTTGTTTAACATATTTTTTGTATATTTAAACAAATTTAAGGATATTTTTGTCATACTGTATACATATTTCTACTCTTAAGATATTGTACCTATGCAGTTCATTTAAAAAATGTAAAGTAATTAAGAAATACAGGTTAGTAGTGAGTCATCTATAATAATCAAACTTGTAGTTGTGTTAGATATGTTTTCAAGGCTAAATGGAGATATACTTTAGATAGACAGGTGGTCTTTAAACACTTCAAAGACCCACAGAATATGGCATCTAAGATGTGTCACTAACCTAAGGCTTTCATGACAATGAGACATGTCTTGTCTGCTCCTGGCACTACCAACTACCAATTTACTTCAAAAAAGGATGATGGGCATTGAAGAACCTCCATACAGAATTTGTTTTTGTTGTGGTAAAGTTAGCTACTGGGCAAGAAAGTGTCCTTGCCTCGATTGTTGACAGTACACTGTCCAAAGTGGACAAACAGGGCACACAAGAAAGTGACTGCTGAATTTTGTCAAGACAAAGCACAACAGTCCTTCAAAATTCTTGCTTCACAGAAAAATTTGTCAGATATTCTAGGCCGGTAGGCAAAGACGGGTAGCCCAGTGTTGCTGAGGGACTTGGGTGGCTCTTCAGGCAGCCAATGTCTTTGTCATTTCTATAGTTTTGAAAGTTGTTTACTATGCACTTCCTGTTTACTTAGATGATATTATATCCTTCTCAGGTCTTTGATGGGGTTGAAGACTAGATAGTTATAGTTAGTTTTCCTTGTTAGCAAATTCAGAAAATAAACTTTACAAAGGAGGTATAAAGTACATAAGGTTAAGAGACATAAAGGCTTAAATTGTTTATCTAAGAAAATGTTTTGATATCTAAAAAAATAGCTTTAGGTTGGTAATACAAGTTAGGATAGAAAATGAATTAGGTACAAAACTTTGTACTCACCAAGATAGGATAGATAATGGAGTGTTTTCTCTAAATTTGCAAAATGCAAAGGAACTGGACATTGAGAATATAATCCTTACTTGATAATTGTTCTTTTATGTTTTAGATTTATTTGTTTTGGATAGTGTTCCACCTGAAAGTATGTCTGCAGGCCAGAAGAGGCTGCCAGATCTTGATGGATGGTTGTGAGCTACCATGTAGTTGCTGGGAATTGAACTCAGGACCTATGGAAGAACAGTCAGTGCTCTTAACCGCTGAGCCATCTCTCCAGCCTGATAACTGTTCTTATTGTATATTTTTACTATATTAGAATTCAACCCTTTTAATTTAGACAAAAAGGGGGAAATGTGGATAATTGGTTTGCTCTGTAAAGATGTGTCTTTGCTAAGGCACTTTTTGACTGATTTAATAAAGAGCTAATTAACCAATAGCTAGGCAGGAAGAGATCCAGTGGAACTTCCGAGGACAGAGAGGACTCTGGGAAGAAGAAGGGTGGAGAGTCCAGTGGACATTGAGGGGAGATAGGAGGCACAAGACGGAAGAGAGGTAACACCAGAAGATAGAACGTATATTAGTACAAATGGGTTAATTTAAGTTATAAGAGCTGTTTAGGAACAAGCATAAGCTAAAGCTCTGTAGACCATGCTGGCCTCAAACTCACAGAGATCCACCTGCCTTTGCCTCCCAGGTGCTGGGATTAAAGGCGTGCGTCACCAAAACCCGGCTCCCAAATTTGTTATAAACAACAGTATACATATTCCGTTTTAGGGATAAAATACTTTCCAAGAACAAGAAACTATTAACTGTCTTGGTAACAATCATAGGCTCCACCCCTTTAAAGAATATATAACTTTTTTTTTTTTGTTTTTGTTTTTTGGTAATGCTGGGGACAGAACCAAAGGCCTCATGCACTTAGGCAAGTGCCTTCCCACCGATTACACTCTAGCTTTATAATTTTGATTTGGCATTAAAAAACATTTTGCAAAGACAGAGCTCAGTTTATACAAAAATGTTTCCAGTCAGTAATATGTTTTGTCTTTCTATTCTCTAATACTGAATTCCTGAGATGAAGCTTGATTTTTAAAGTTTTAATCTTTTAGTTTCCCCCTGAAACTAAAAGTGTGTGTGTGTGCATGCGTGTGTGTGTGTGTGTGTGTGTGTGTGTGTGTGTGTGTGTGTGTGTAGGTCAGAGGTGGGTGTTGGTTGCCTTTCTCACACTTGCTTGCTACCTTGTTACTATAAAGTGTTTCATTAAGCATGTCTGGAGGTCAGAGGATAACTTTTAGGATTCATTCTTTTCTTCCCACTGTGTGGCTGTAGGGGATTGAATTTAGGTTGTTCTTTGGCTTTGCAGGGCAAGTGCCTGCCGTTACGAGATAAGCCATCTTGCTGGTCCTATTGAACAATTGTTTTGAACTCTAATAGAATCACTGAAAAGCTGAATGTTTTGTGATATAGTTTACTTAATGAATTATGAGGCTTTCTCTAATTAACGGGAACTATATTAATAAATTTAGCAGCTAAACCATTTTTATTAAGCCCTAGAGCAGTGGTTCTTAACTTGCCTAATGCTGCGTGACCCTTTAATACAGTTCCTTATGTTGTGATGACCCCCCCACCCATAAAATTATTTTCATTGCTACTTCATAACTATAATTTTGCTACTGGTGTCATAACTATAATTTTGCTACTGTTATGAATCGTAATTTAAATATCTGATATGTGACCCCAAAGGGTTGTGACCCACAGGTTGAGAGCCACTGCCCTAGAGTGAACCAACTCAGTAATACTCTTTTCCAATCCAAAATGTAACAAGCCCTCTTTTACCTAAAAAAGCTCAAACATTTTTAGGCATGAGTACTTAAAGCTGCAAATGCAACACATTTGTTCTCTTCAGATCAAAATTAATATATTCCACAAACACCATCATTAAATAAAATCTTTTAAAAGAGAACAATGATTCCCATTTCATTTAATGAATTTTTATTAACTGAAACAAAAATAACCTCCCCCCCCCAAAACCCAACAACCCAGTATTCAAGCAGGGTATGGTGGCCAATACCTGTATTCCTAGCACTTGGGAGGTGAAGGTAGGAGGGTCAGGGGTTCAATATCATCCTCAGCTACCTAGTGAGCTCCAGTCCAGCCTAGGCTACCTACGACCCTGTCTCAAAAAACCAACTACTCAACCATACAACCTCCAAAGCCCCAGGATTTGGAGTGTCACCAGTAAACTAAAATGGAAATGTACTAGCATCAAAAATATTCCAGCTTGGATGTCTCTTACTAAATAAGTATCAACGATGAAAAACATATTAAGGTATCAGTCTTTTTATGAAGATGAAGTAGGTTGTTCCTAAGAAATATGGAAGAATAAAGTCGGTCTTAAAGATTATTCCGTATTACAGTAATGCATGAGCAACATATGCTTGGTTTAAAAACTACCAATGTTTAGTCTTAAATGAGAACAAGTGTCCATTAGCGCTAAGTACAGTTCAGCATGTCATTTATGAATAAGATTACAGTCTCCAGGTTAGAGATGGCTTGGAATCTGACACCCTCTTGTGAGCTCCTTGCGCACCTGCACACGCGTGCACATATACACAGACACATACATTTACATAACTAAAAACAAATCTTTAAAGAAGGACTATAGTTTTAATGTAGGCACACTGCTCTAACTAGGAGAAAGCCTCATCAGCATTTGTTGCTCACCAACAACAAACTTTTTTTTTTTGGTTCCAGACATTTTCCTCGTGTGCTTTTTTTTGGGGGGGGGCAGGGTGTGGGCAAACTTATCCGCAGAAAGCTGCAGAGTGGACAGGAAGTAGCGGTTTTTGCTATGTGCAAACTTGTGACGTGTGTACAGCAGGCACAGAATAAAGTGTGGGCCGACTCGCGGGAGACTCCTTCCCAAACTTTTGGGGGCAGCGACCGGAGCATGCTGGCAGAACAGAGTTAAACCAGCGCATCCAAGCGAGCGAGGCTCGACCCCGGGTCTGCGGCATCCAGCACTTACCAGGCCAGGCCCAGGCACGCCGCCAGCGACAGCAGGCTGAGCCCGGTGCGGGGGTCCGCCCAGCACGCCCCGCCCCGCGCCTCGGGGTTCTTCCTGCCGTCGCTCCGCTTCTCGGGCTCGGCGGCAGCCCCCTTGGGCCCCGGCTTCTTCCGGCTCTTCACCTCGGACATGTCTGGAACCCTGAAATCTCCAAGCCGGGACGGCCTCACCGGGGTACGGAGGGACGCGGCTGCAGCGCGGCTCCGGGAGCCCCGCCCCTTCCCAGGCCGGCCCCTCCCACACCCGGCCCCGCCCCCTCGGCTCGCCCCGCCCCCCGCCTCCGGGTTCCTCTACCAGGCCGAGTATGGGAACTCTAGAAGCTCGCGGGCGCGCGCAGGCTGCCGGGACGCGACGAGAGGGGCGGGGCCGAGCGTGCCACGTCCGCCTGGGCGCGCCCCCGCGTCTTAGCCCCGCCCCATTGCGCATGCGGAGACGCTCTCCCGGGGCTGGCGGGCACGCGCCGGGCGGGGTTTGCGTGCGCGGGAGCGCGCTGTCCGGACTGGGCGGGCCCGGCGGCGCTTGAGCGCTCGGCGGGCCTGCGGCGGGGACTCCGAGGTAGCGAGTGGACGGACCGACGGCTTTCTCCGCGCTCACAAGGGCGTGAGAGGGGTGTCGGCAGCGGGAGGCGGGTGCAGCCAGCCCCCGGCGACGATCGCAGACAGTCGCGGCGGCGATCGCAGCGGCGCGCCCGGGCAGCTCCCGCCGGAGGGGAGAGCGGCGACCCGAGTGGCCAGGTACCCCGGTGCGGCCGGCCCGAGGCAAGCGGAGGGTCAGCCCGCCGCGGTGAGCATCTCTCGCCACCGCTCAGTCCCGGGCATCCCCCTGCGCCCCGAGCGGCCGATGCCCAGGTGAGGCACCTGAGGTTTCAGGACCTGCCCGGGGCGCGGGGCCGCGGGGGCGCGGGGAGATCGGCCCCGAGCGCGGCCTGCCCCACGGCGAGCGATTATCGGCTCTGACCCACCCGGGGCTGCTCGTCCCAGCCAGCACAACCCGGGTGCAAAGGCTTGGGTAAGTTTGCCCCCTCCCCTCGCTCTCCCTCATCCCCTCAGGCAGGTTAAAGCTAGTTCTGTTGTAGATGTCAGTGACTGAAGATCAGGGGACTTGGGATATTTGATAATCTGCTCCTGTATCAGGAAAAGAGATTATCTAAGGAGGAAGTAGACCACTATTACTGTTTTCCTGGACAGACAGCCTTTATTTTGTGTTCCGTTTTTCCGAACAGTTTGACTTTCTCTTTTGATGTGGCCTCAAGAGGTGTGGCACTGCGAATTTGCCCATAGCACTTCAGTTTGTGTAAAGTTTGAAAAGAAGTGTTTAAGATTTACATATTTGAGTTTAATACGGCTAGAGAAAATTGGAAATTAGTTGCCAAAGTGTGCTTTTGCTTAACTGGTATCCTTTGTCAGAATGAATTTCAAAACTGTCAGTTGAGACTAAAAAATGCTAACATTGAAAGTGATAGTCTAGTCTTGTTTCTGAAATTTTTTTTCTTTTTCTTTTTATTTCTTTTCTTCAGTTAATTTCATTCCACTCCTTTTTGTGAACCTTGACAAACACAAACAGGTGCCTTTTTTATTTTTGCAAGTGCTGCATTTGATGACTTAAAAAAAAATTTTTTTTTGAGTTGAATGATACCTCTCTGCCTAGCTCTCTAATTACTTCGTGCCTGTCTCTGATTTTGCATTTAGGACAGTCACATTCTGATTACCTCCTTTTTTCTACTAGACTGTAAGTTCCTTCAGGGATGAGTTAATCTTGAATAGTCTCAGGAAGGTCTCCATATGTATTGAAAGAGGGCTGGTATTCTGTAGCACTAGTAGTAGATTGTTTGCCCACCATGCAAAATAAGGCTGTGGGTTCAATCCCCAGCAACACATGCATACACACACACACACACACACACACACACACACACACACACACACACACCAGGTATTGAAAGAATGATTAAGACTATTTAAGACATTCACAGTAATACACTGGATAGAGTTATGTTAAATGTTTTTGGGACTTGCAAACATTCAGAATAATTTTTGTAATATTATAGGGAGGTTTGTTAAGAAATGAAAATATCTTTCTGTAAAGAATATTATTCTTTGTTACCATAGTTCAAGTAATGACATCAGAGGGTATTTCCTGTGGCTCATGAGTATTTGCTTACTAATGAAGATCTGGGGCTGACATCTACTTTGAGAACTCAGATCAGCAATGACGCTCGGTTGTAGGTTGGATAAAACAACACGTTCTAAAACATGAGGAATTCGGTATGGTAACTTTTACAGATCCTCAACTTAAGAAAAGGAAGAATTTTTACTCTAAAAAATGACTGTTGGAAAAAAAAAGGACATACACACACAAAAGAAAAAAAAAAAAAAAGAGAAAAGGACACTATAAAATTACAGAGAATAAAGTTAAAATCTTGCAACTCAGTCTTCCAAACACTTTGATGAACAAACTTTTAAGCATATTCTTTGACGTTTGTGAGAAACAACACATTTTGTGTTATTTGGGGTTCTGTTCCTTTTTAAATCAGCAGGGTCAGAAACAGCTTTCCTTGTCGTCAGTATATATACTGCGTAGAGATATGTGCCATCTAATTTTAAATGGCTGTGTAGTATCCCATTTTAAATATAAACGTAATTAAAAATAAGCTGGGTGGTGGTGGCATACACCATTAATCCTAGCACTTGAAAAGCAGAGGCAGGTGGATCTCTGAGGTCCCTGAGTTTGAGGCCAGTCTAGTCTGTAGAGCTAGTTCTAGGACAGCTGCGGCTACACAGAGAAATCCTGTCTTAAAAAGCAAAACAAACCCCCCCAAAACTTGTTTTCTTCACATTTCTTGATTCCTTGTCATGACAAATATGTTGATACTTTGCCTGTAGCTCATGTTTGACAGTGAAGAGAGAAACAAACCTGAAGGACAATGGATGCAAAGGCCCGGAATTGTTTGCTTCAACATAGAGAAGCTCTGGAAAAGGACATCAAAACATCCTACATCATGGATCACATGATCAGTGACAACGTCTTAACAGTAGCCGAGGAGGAAAAAGTGAGAAGTCAGGTAGAGCCTTTGGCCTTCTACGCTTCTTTAAAATTCCCAGTACTCACAGAACTTGCAGTAGTCTCCACTCATCTGTGCTGCAGACATATTCCCTGCCGTATTCTTACTGTTTTATTTATATTCTTACTGTTTCTCTTTTTTTTCAGACCACTCAATATCAACGAGCAGCTGTTTTAATTAAGATGATACTTAATAAAGATAACTGTACCTACATTTCATTCTACAATGCTCTGCTACATGAGGGATATAAAGACCTTGCCGCCCTTCTTCATAGTGGCCTTCCTGTCCTTTCTTCTTCCAGTGGCAAAGATACAGACGGCGGAATAACGTCATTTGGTTTGTATCCCTGATACCTTGTGTCACCTTGCCATCATCATGGCTATATTGCTTGCAGGTTTGATTGTAGTTTGAAACGGCTGGAAAGTGTATTTCAGTTCTGCGTGTGCAGAAACATTTTAATTTCAAATCTAAGTATTTATTTGTGTTCATGTTAATACATTTTTCTTGTTTAGTCAGCTGCTTACTGCTGAGGCAGTAGCATATGTATTCTAAATTTTAGAGCATTAAGAGATTTGTAGGGCCTTAATTATTTTCTTTATTTGCGTGTTATATAGAGTTTATAGGACAGGAAAAGAATTTTTAGAATTTTACATTCTTTTTTTTTTTTTTTTTTTTTTTTACACTTTCATCTTATGTGCCTGCATATTTATCTGCATGTATGCTGTGTACCATGTGCATGCCTGGTGTCCTCAGAGGCCAGAAGAGGGCACTGGATCTCCTAGAACTAGAGTTACAGACAGTTGTGAGCTGCCATGTGGATGCTGGGATGGAATCCAGGTCCTTGAGAAGAGCAGCCAGTGCTCTTAACCACCGAACTATCTTTCTAGCCTAGAAGTCTATATTTTTGAAAGGAACTTCAGAAACATTGTTCCTTCTACATTCTTTCCAGTGTTAACTTTTTGTTATTTATAGTGTGAGGTATGGGGCAAGAGAAGATGTCAGAGGACAACTTGCAGGAGTTGAACTCAGTTCATCAGACTTGGCCGAGTGCCTTTGCCTGTTGAAACAATTTGTTGCCCTCATCCCTTTCCTGTTTCTTTTTGTGCTTGGGACCAAACCCACAAGTTTGACTTTGCACAACTAAGCAAACTCAGCTAGTGGACTATATATACACCTTGGTCCTTCCCAGTATTCAACACAGACAAAAGAGGCTAGTAGGGATAGATGGAGACTTCCACTGTGTGTAGTGACCTTGAAGGATATGTGTTTATTCTTGTCCTTTGTGTTGTGAGATATTGGAAGGGTGAAGTTCATATTCTAGTCATTGTTTTGAATATTTATCTCGGGAAATTTTGAGGCTAAGCGTCAGCCTTGTTTGTCTGGGTTTTACAAGAGGGTCACTCAAAAGCAGTCACTTTGAAGTTTTGTTCATTCATACCTGTTTTGGATTTCAGTTAGGACTGTGCTGTGTGAAGGTGGAGTACCACAGAGGCCAGTTATTTTCGTCACTAGAAAGAAGCTGGTGAATGCAATTCAGCAGAAGCTCTGGAAACTGAATGGTGAAGCAGGGTGGGTCACCATATATGGAATGGCAGGCTGTGGGAAGTCTGTATTAGCTGCGGAAGCTGTTCGAGATCATTCCCTCTTAGAAGGTACGTTTGATACTGTGACACTTTCTCAAGATTTTAGGCTTTCCTGTTGGTTGCTGATAATAAACTACCACAAATTTAGTGACTTTTAATAATATATATTTCTTATCTTAAGGTTCTTGGTTTTTAAACTAGGTTGGAATCAAACTGTTAGGACTGAAGTCCATTTGGAAGCACTTGGAAAAATTTCTATCCTTGATTTTTCTGTCTCCAAGAGGGAGCCTATGTTTCCTTACCTCATAGTTCATCCTCAGAACCAACAGTGAGCATCAAATCTTTTTGCCTGTATCTCTTTGATAGTGATTTGCGTTTGTCCTCTGTTTCCCTTTTGTGGTTTTGAGGGTGAGTCATAGGCGCTAGTGATCAAATCCAGGGCCCCTCACATGCTCGGTAGACATTCTAGCACTGAGTTCCATCTCTTGTTCCTCTTCCTCACATTTCTTTTTTCTTTTGAGACAGCCTTTCTCTGTGTAGCCCTGGCTGTCCTTGAACTTGCTCTGTAGACAGGCTAGCCGTCTGAAGAGCTCCGCCTGCCTCTGCCTCCCCAGTGCTGGGATTAAAGGCGTGCGCCACCACTGCCTGAACACTTTGTTTTCTGACTTTTCTTGCCCCCCGCTTTATGAAAGCCCTGTGATCATACTGGATTTGTCCTACAATCCAGGGTAACTTCACCCCAAATCCTTAGTTATCAGGCCTACTAACTCCCCTTTACTCTGTACAGTAAAATATTTACCTTTTTGTGGACGTTGTTGGGGACCATGATTCTGCCTAACACAGGTGTGTGGCATTAGGTTTGTGCAGCTTGCTTGTCTCCTGTGCTTGTCTCGCAGAGGGTCAGAGGATAGTAACCCTGCAGTAAGCTAGTTATGACACATCGCAGGGCTTTGGGCTTGTAGGGCTGAGAAGGGGCTGACAGGCTGCCCTTACAGGCACGAATATACTTAGCACCTTTTATTCTGGCATGCAGTGCTCATAGGGGAAGAATGTCTTAGAAACTCATTTTGTCAGACTCTCCTGGTGAATGCTTTTCACATGGATTTGGTAGCCTGTATTAATTTAAACAGTTAATTCCATTCATTAAAAAAAAGTAGAAATTGTGTTATTTATTTGTGTGTACAAAAACATACGGGTGTGTGCCCCAGCGTGTATTTGGAAGCCTGAGGATACACTGTGTGGGAATTGGTTCTCTCCCTCCATCCTGTGGGTTCCCAGGATCAAACTCGAGCCCTCAGCTTTGGCAGCAAACACCTCTACCTCTGATCTCTCTCACCTGTTTCTTTCAGTTCGATAATTATTTCTCTTCCCTTTTTCTTTTCCTGCTTTGTCTTAGTTAGGGTTACTTTTGCTGTAATGAAACACCATGACCAAAAGCAGCTTTGGGAGGAAGGGGTTATTTGGCTTGCACTTACTGTTCACCATTGAAGGAAGCCAGGAACTCAAACAGGGCAGGATCCTGGAGGCAGGAGCTGATACAGAGGCCATGGAGCGGTGCTGCTTACTGGCTTGCTCATCGTGGGTTGCTGCTCAGCCTGCTTTCTTACAGAACTCAGGACCATCGGTCCAGGGATGGCCCCACCCACAATGGGCGGGGCCTCCCCATCAATCACTAATTAAGAAAATGCTCCGCAGACTTGCCTACAGCCCCATCTCATGGAGGGTTTTCTTAATTGAGGTTCCCTCCTCTTGGATGACTTTAGCTTGTGTCAGGTTGGCATAAAATTATCCAGCATGAGTTTATATTTGTGTGGCATGTATATATGTATGCTTGTATGTGCAGATACATAATCCATGCATACCCCCTCCCCCATTCAAGTGTATACATGGATGTGGAAACTAGAGATTGACATTGGTTGCTTTCTTTGATCATTCTCCACTTTATATGTTGAGGCAGGGTCCCTAACTTGAATCCAGAGCTCATTGGTTAAGTGGGTGTAAATAGCCACCTGGCTCTGGGGACCCTGTCTCTGCCTCTTGAGTGCCGGGATTATAAGTGAGCCACTTGGAGCACCTGGTATTTACGTGGGTGCTGGGTGTCTGCTTGTTCTCACTCGCACTGGCAAGCCCGTTCCCTCACTGGCAATGGAGCCTACTTCTTCTGGATTCCAGCATGTTCTGGAGGCCACTTAAGACATCCAACCTCATAGACGGAACAGCTACAGGATTCTTGGCCCTTCTGTTGGTAGACAGCCATTGTATAATGAAAAAATACATATTTTCATTCTCTAAGTTGTGTTCCTCCAGAGAGCCCTAACACATACAGGGTAGAAAGTTAGAAGGAAGGAACACTCACTTCCTAGAGGAAGAGGATGGACAGAGTGGGTTTCCTGGATGAGATGGCATGTAGTTGAATTTTAGAGAAGGAATAAAAGTTTGCTAGGCAGACTAAGGGTGGAAAAGTAGGGAATAAGGAAGGGCAGTGAATGGTTACAGGAGAAGTAAGAGACATTCTGGGCAGAAGAGGGTTACAGATACGTTCGGCAGGGTTCTTGTGATGCTCATCAGGAATAAATGTACAGCTACCCCAGTGTTTGACTTCCTCCATTCTTTTATAATTCCTAAGAATTATATGCCTGTGTGTGTTCCCTTGTGTGAAGGACAGAGGACAGTTAGTGAGACTCGGCTCTTCTCTCTTTTCATCATGTAGATTCTGGGGATCTAGACTCAGGCCTCCAGGTTTGGCTGTAAATGCCGGTGTGTCTCAATAGTACCTACATTTTTTAGTGAGTTCTATTTGTTTTACACTTGTAGGAACCAGATAACAGTTCTGACTTCGTGATCATGTAGAAATACAAGTCTTAATCAGCCATCAGGCAGTTTAATAGGCCTGTAAGAGATTGGAAAGATAGAGTCTAGGGAATGTCTTTGTGTACAAGGATCTAGTTTCCAACTTCTTAGCCTTTCTTAACACTATTGATGGCAGTTTTGACAGGATGCCCAGTCCTTAGCTTTTAGGTTTTTTTGTTTTGAGAAGTAGAGGTCCATACTCTGAGTTCAAGGCCAGCCTGATCTACATACTGAGTTCCTGAATAGCCAAGGCTGTACAATGAGAGTGTCTAAAACAAAACGAAACAAAACCCTAAGTAAACCACTGCAGAATTGGTCACTAAAGATATTTCAAGATACAATGGACTTAAGTTCTTTTAGTGTTAAGAAATAACTTTTCAGTTTCATGATAAACTTTCTTTTAAGGATATGTAAAGAATACCTCATATAAGTTGCTCTGTATTATGATGAACTTTCAATTTTAGGGATTAAAAGTGAATGGAAACATAGAGGGTCAGTAGCTCAGGAAACATTGTGTAACTTAGCCACTGTGTGTGTGTGTGTTCTATTTGCACGTGTGTAGATGTGTGTGCCATGGCCATCACTTCTCTCCTTCCACTATGAAGATTTCAGGGGTTGCACTGAGATTGTCAGGTTTGGTTTTACTTACTGAGCCATCTTGCCAGCCCTATGCCTTGTCTTTTCAACACGGGAGTTTTTCCCATAGGCTGCCTGCTTACTTTCTGTCCTTTCCAAGATTTCCTTGGTGCTATTAGATTATTAATTGCTACCAGGGAAAACCCCATGTGAAGATAGAATGGGACCTTTTTTCCTCCTCTGAATAAATTTCTCTGAATGAGTTAGAAGTGCAAACTTCATTCAAGGCTAAATTGCTCCCTCTTGTGCCCATAGTTCAGACGTTTAGATTCTTCCTAAATGTAGAAATAACAGTTCATCATTTAACTAGATGCTGTACTCTAGTGGTAGATTTTTGTAGGTTAGTTAATCACTTATTATATTTGTCTACTTTTTGAAGTAAGTGACATCTACTTATCTTTTTCTTGCATATACTTATAATTCCCAAATGCAAGTTTAGGATAACAAGGCTTGCTTTAATCTAGGCAAGTGGTTTTAAACATGAAGGAATTTACCAGCTCCATTAAGATACTTTACTTTTTTTTTTTTTTTTTAATCATAGGATAGTTTTTAAAAAATAAAGTAGAAAGCACATTCTTTTAGAATTAAAAATTTGCATAAGTATTATAAAAGTAGATTTTTTTTTTGTTGTTTTGTTTAAAAAGAAGTAAAACTAAGTTAAGTGTAGAGGTGTATTCAGGATCTGAGGAAAGGGTTGGGCGGTTGAGGCTGACCTGGGCTATAGATTGGGATGCTGTCTCAGAAACACATAATAAGAAGGCTGCACTAGTTCAGTGGGTAGAGTGTTTGGCTAGCACATGTAAAAACTGTTCATTTGCCAGTCTCCTAAATTCTAAATCTTGCTTAACTGCTTGGGGCAAATTTTAAAACTATTTTTAGTGTGTTTCCAAATATACATTCACAGAGAACAGCTATAGGACCTACTGTTTCATCATAGCCCAGAACTTATGGAAGTTTCTGCAAGTAAAGGAGTAGGATCTCTTATCTGTCTCCTAAGATATGCACTGATTAAGCCAGACTTTTCAGCTTTGTCTTTTTTAAAGACATGGTTTCTCTGTGTAGTCCTGGCTGTCCTAGAACTCACTCTATAGACCAGGCTTCCCTCGAACTCAGAGATCCGGCTGCCTCTGCCTCCCAAATGCTGGGATTAAAAGTGCGCACCACCACCGCCTGACTAAAACTTGTTTTTAATGAGTTATTTATTTGAGGCAGAGTCTCACTGTGTAGACCAGGCTGACCTTGTGTTTAGAGATCTTGCCTCTGCCTCCTGAGTACTGGGATTAAAGTTATGGCCCAGTATTTATTAGTGGCCTGTCTTTCTGTTTCTGTGCATGTGTGCTTGAGGGTGTGCATGCCTTCTGTGTGTGTACGTGTGTGTGTGTGTGTGTGTGTGTGTATGCTTGGGGGTGCGCATGTGCCACAGTCCATATGTGGAAGTCTGAAGACACATTTGTGAAGTCCACCCTGTCTTTCCACCTTTCTGTGGGTTCCAGAGATCAAGTTCTGGTTGCCAGGTTTGTGTGGCAATCATGCTTACCTGCCGCTCAAAATAATGAGCTTCACTCTGTTTTATACGTACATATCCTGATAGTGTCTGTTCTCACACAGCCTTTGTCCTTAGTCTCTATGTCCCTTTGCTTATCCTCTTGTTTTCCCCAAATAGTACTTTAAAAAATTATTTATTTATTCTTTTAAATTTAATTTTACATTCCAACCACAGTTTTCCCTTCTTTTAGATTTAGGTTTGTAGTTCAGTAATAAACCTCTATTAGAATTTGTAGCTTGACTCCAGAGAAGGTAAAGATAGGAGATTGAAGATTGGCATGAATTTGGTAATTGACAGTAAAGCAGTTCAGAGGGGGCTGTGTTCAGAGCCTTACATCTACATTTCTTCCTTTTTCCCGATTAGGTTGTTTCCCAGGAGGTGTACATTGGGTTTCAGTTGGAAAACAAGACAAGTCTGGCCTTCTGATGAAACTGCAGAATCTTTGCACACGGCTGGATCAAGAGGAGAGTTTTTCTCAGAGGCTTCCACTTAATATCGAGGAGGCTAAAGACCGTCTCCGTGTTCTGATGCTCCGCAAACACCCAAGGTACAGACAATCAAATATGGTTAGTGTATACTTTACTGACATCCTGAAAACACCATGCCATTTCTTGAGAGCCATTGCTTTCCTGCTGTACTCCTAATTTTAAAAAAGAAAGTGGCTACCACTTGGTATAAATTGCTCATTTTTGCATCTTATTAATTGTATTGCCTCCTATAAGCCATTGTAGGGTTTTGAGAAATACAATTTTTGTTAGAAAATACAAACTTCTTGGTTTGGATAAGTTGTTTCTACTGCATAAACATAGAACAAGAAAAAAAAAATCTAAGTAACTAAGTTAAAGACTGAAAAAGGAAAGAAGGAAGGATTTCTTATTTTTGTGTGGTTGGGATTGAACCCAAGGCTTTATCCATGTTAGGCAAGTGTTCTACTACTGTGCTGTATCCCTAGCTAAATGGGTTTATTTTAAAATTCATTTTTTTGTGTGTGGATAGTGTGTGTGTGTGTGTGTCTGTGAGTGTGTATTGCATGTGTGTGTAGCTTGTGTATAGGTTAGAGGACAGCTTTCGGGAGTTGCTTTTTCATATCTATGATGGATTATGGGAACTGAACTCAGGTCTGAGTCATCCCACTGATCTGAGAACTGTGTATGTATGTATGTGTGTGTGTGTGTGTGTGTGTGTGTATGTATGTATGTATGTGTGTATGTGTGTGCATATGCACCCATGTATGCACCTGAAGAGGTCAGAGGCAGTGGGGGGAGACTCCCAGAGTCTGCAGCTTGTGGTCTGTTGGCCTGGTTAGTATTTAGCAGACCCCAGTGTTCACCCCTGCTTCACCTCACTTGGTGGAGCGACCACACAGACCTCTTGTCTTAGTCACTTTGCTGTTGCAGCGGTAAACACCATGACCAAGGCTATTTATAGAAGGAAGTGTTTATAGAAGGAAGTTTATGTGAGCTTACAGTTTCAGAAGGTTAGAGTCCATGATGGTAGAGTAGAGACGTGGCAGCAGGAACAGCCCAGGGCACACCTGGTGAACTACACACAGAAGGCAGAGGTGCACTGGGATATAAATCGAAACCTCACAGGTAGCTTCCAGTGGTCCATCACCTGCCCAAGGCCACACCTCCTAATCCTTCACAAATAGTTCACAACTGGGACCAAGTATGCAAACATACGAGCCTAGGGGGATCATTGTTCAAATGACCACACCCTCGTAACCTTTGTTCTAGAGAGACCTACAGATTTTGTCCAGAGTTTGATCATAGCTGAAGAAATTGCACACATGTTACATGGAGCCAGAGTCAGTATAGCCCACCTGGTCAGCACTGCCAGGAAAGTCTTCTATTACAGCAGTAGAGGCAGCTGAACTACGGGAAGCACAAGTATCACTTAGGGCCACAAAAACCATGAAAGGGCATGGTAACATGATGTCTCCTAAGAGATATAACAGCTTTTTAGCAACAGACCTAGAAGAAAAGTAAATTGATAAATTCCTGAAAGTGAATCAAAAATAATGATTTTAAGGGAGCTCAGTTAAGAAACGTAGAAAATAGCACATTATCTGAATGAGAAATTTAATGTGATAGGAGATGAACCTAGTGACGACAATAAAATGATTAAAAATACTATTGAGAATTTCTAAGTGGGTCAAGCAGAAGGAAGAATTTCTGGGCTTAAAGTTCAGTCTTTTGGAATAGCTCAGCCAGGTCCAGGAGTTGTACAACTGGCACACTTGTAATCCCTGCCAGTTAGGAGCAGAGGAGGAGGAATGGGAGTTTGAGGATAGTGTAGACTACATAGTGAGACTCTGGCTCAAAACAAAGACACATGTAACACAGGCGGGGCTTTGGCCCAGTGGGAAAGGCAGCTTGCCGCTCAGCTTGACAGCCTGAGCTTGAGCTCACATGGTGGAAGGGAGAACTGACTCCTGCAAGGTGTCCTCTGACTTGTATGTGCATGCTGTGGCATGTTCATGTGATGTACACATACATGTAACTAATAAGTAAATAGATAAGTTAAAAAATGCACGTAGATTAAATAAACAGATAAATAGACAAAGCTGATTTCAGAGAGTAACTAGAAGCTGGGCATGGTGGTACATGCCTTCAATCCCAGTACACGGGAGGCAGGTGGATGATCGCAGGTGTCACAGAGGCAGCTCTGGGTACTTAGGCAGGCTGTGACTCCTGTCTGGGTACTCTCAATCTCCTCAGTAACCCACAGGCCCGGGGCTCCTCCCTTTCCATAGATGGTCGAGCCACTGACCACAACTTCTCCATAGTCAGAGCTCCCCACTGCTTAGACTCCCGTGGGGTTCGTGTCTGACCCTCTCCCTCTTCATAACTACCTTCTATGGCCTTCTCCCAGACAACACCCAGACCCTGTGACGGGGCATCTTCAGCGTGCTGGCTTTTGTTTCCCAGGCCCCAGAGTATCTCAGTCCCTCCTGGCTGTAAGTAAGCACTCAGAGTTATGAGGGGGTGATAGGATTAGTTTCTTCAGCGCTAGCCTGCCATGTAGGAGGTGTTGCTGTTACACCAGATTCCTACACCGGTTTTCCGGCTTGGGAAAACTGGGCTTCTCTTGAGTCTGGGATTTCCACACTTTGTCCAGAGGACTCTCTGACTCACCTTGTGCTTTGTTTCCTCTCCTGCCTAGGAAGCTGTGTGGACTGTTTACCTTTTTTCCCTTTGTGTTAACCTGTTTTTCTGTCAGTTAAAAAGAAACTGTTTTTTTTTATTGTTTTATGTGTATTAGTGTCTTGCCTGTATATATGTATGTACGACATATCTGTGCTTGGTGCCTGTGGAAGCTAGAACTGGGCATTGGATCCCCTGGAACTGGAATTCCAAACTTTTGTTAGCCTCTGTAAGAGTAGCCACTTTTTTGGGCTGGAGAGATGGCTCAGAAGTTAAAAGCACTGGCTGCTCTTCCAGAGGACCTGAGTTCAATTCCCAGCACCCACATGGTGACTCATAACCATCTATAATGGAGATGTGGTACCCTCTTCTGGTGTGCAGGGACACATGCAGACAGAACATTGTATACATAATAAATAAATAAATCTTAAAAAAAAATGAGTAGCCACTTTTTTAAATTTTATTTATTTTTTTCCCCAAAACAGGAGTAGCCACTTCTTTTAGCCTTTTTCTTTTTAGTTACATTTATTTTGTGTATGTATGTGTATATATACTTTTATTTACTTATTTTTGTAGTGTTGCTTGCCTTGGCTTCTTAGTTACTATTCTACTGCTGTGAAGGAATGTCATGACATCATAACCAACGCAGCTCTTATAAAAGAGACTGAAACTTCCAGTTTCAGAGGGTCAGTCCATTATCATCATGGCAGGAAGCAGACAGACATGGTACCGGAGGAGTAGCTGAGAGCTTTACATCCTGGTCATGGTCAGAGAACAAGACACTTGCCCTGGATGGGCTTTTGAAACCTCAAAGTCCGCTCCTAGTGACACCCCTTCACCAAACGGCCACGCCTCCTAACCCTTGTAAACAGTTCAGTTGGGGACTAAGCGTGCAGATGCGTGGAGTCCTGTGGGAAGCACTGTTCTTCAGACTTCCACATTTTCCCATGCTTTCCCTTTCTTTTGTCTTGGGACTGTAGGTTCTCCTTTGCTACCCTGACCCTTCTTGTTCATGGAGACACAGGAAAGAAACTTCTAGTCTGCCATCTTACACTTGTCTTAGAACTTCTTTTTAAAGGAAGTGTATAATAAAGTTATTAGTGATCTGTTTGTTTTGTTTTAATTTTTGAGGCAGGGTCTTTCTGTAGCCCTGGTTGTCCTGGACTTGCTCTGTAGACCAGGCTGGCCTCAAACTCAGACATCCCCCTGTCTCTGCCTTCTGGTGCTGAGATCAAAGGCATGCACCACCATTGCGTGGCATGATTTCCTCCTCCCTCCCTCCCCCCTCCCTCTCTCCCTCCTTCCCTCCTTTCTTCCCTCCCTCCCTCCTTTCTTCCTTCCTTTTTGTTTTTTTTTTTTTGAGACAGGGTTTCTGTGTGTAGCTTTGGCTGCCCTGGAACTCACTCTGTAGATCAGGCTGACTTTGAACTCATAGAGATTCATCTGCCTCTGCCTCCCCGAGTGCTGAGACTAAAGGTGTGCACTGCCACCACCAACTGGCTCTTATTTCATCCCCCCCCCCCCCTTAGGTCTCTGTTGATCTTGGATGATGTTTGGGATCCTTGGGTGTTAAAAGCTTTTGACAACCAGTGTCATATTCTTCTCACAACCAGAGATAAGAGTGTTACAGACTCAGTAATGGGTAAGGCTTTTTAAATTCACATTAATGCTATAGTAAAGACATTAAGTCAGAAGGCATTGTTTCGTTCAGCACATGTACATGTGCGACACGACAAATTGCTTACTTTGTGTTACACTTTTGCTTCAGGTCCTAAGTATGTTGTCTCTGTGGAGAGTGGTCTAGGGAAAGAGAAAGGACTGGAAATCTTATCACTTTTTGTTAACATGAAGAAAGAGGATTTGCCAGTGGAAGCCCACAGTATTATAAAAGAATGCAAAGGTATGAATGGCTACTGACTTGTGTGTGAGGGGAGGCTGTGGAAATACTGATGCTCTTTTTATAAAGCAGGCTGGTGACGATGCTAATCTAGCTCATGGACACTGAACCTGTTTTATGGCATTTAATAGTTTAGTTACCTCTCATACCTCAAGTGAATACACTTGGTATTTATTAATTCTTTATGATAATGTTACTTGTTAACGGGTCTGTTAATGAGAAAGAGGAAATGAAGTCAAGACTTTTACTGTCGAGCATTGAAAAATATTATGAACATCATTTAAAAACTGTTTGGTTTGCAGTTTTATAAAAATTAATGTTTCAGTTTGGTAAGTAAATGCTGTTGTCCGCCGACTTCAAGAATTTATTTGTGAAGTGAAACCTTTTACTTGTTCCGAGAATATAGAGGGAAACAAAACCACAGTCACAGACTTAGTTTCTCTTAGTGAATTTTCATAGCGTAGATCACTTTGACCGCGCATGTCCTTTTAGTTAACTCTTAAATGGCTTGCATGGAGAAAGAGTCCATCCTACAGGTTACAGGATCGCTTCCCGTGCCTACCTCTCTCCACCTCCCACTTGAGATGCCGGTTACTAGGCTTCAGGTTGTACCCGTGCTCCTGACCCAGCAGCTACAGCCCCTCCTGAGACTGGCCAGGGACACAGAGTTAGCGCCTTATAGTGGGCGACACAAAGACACAGATGGGAGCGTGCTGATGACTTCGGGGCGGTGGGGTGGCGGGGCCAGGGTCCCCATCACTGTGGCATTTTCAGGAGGCCGCCCATGAGTTCAGTCCTCTCTGAACTTAGCGCATAGGTGTGACTGATGTGGACAAAACGAGTAATGCAAGTAAACCGAGCAAAAGATGTCTCAGTGAGTAATGGAAGTCTTTCTTATGCTAATGATTTCCTTAGAGGACATACCTTGAAGTAAACAGGAGTTAGCAGTGTTCTAAGGCCTTGGGAAACTTGCACTGAAGATTGTTTCTTGTGCTGGTGAGATGGTTTAGTTGGTAAAGGTGCTTGTGGCCAAGCCTGGCCACCTGAGCTTCATCCTCAGAGTCTGCATGGAAGGACCAGTTACCCTCTGACCTTCACACCCACACACCCATCTCCCTCCCCTCCTCTCCTCATCCCCCCCCCACATCCCACCCACACCCACGAACATAATCATACTTGCCTCCATACACACGCTGAGGGAGAATAAAAAACTTTAAATTGTTGAGTGGTGATTTTAAAATAAGATGATAATAACATAATCACTTTTCCCCAGGTTCTCCTCTCGTAGTGTCTTTAATTGGTGCACTTTTACGTGATTTTCCCAATCGCTGGGCATACTACCTCAGACAACTTCAGAATAAGCAGTTTAAGAGAATAAGGAAATCTTCCTCTTATGATTACGAGGCTCTGGATGAAGCCATGTCTATAAGTGTTGAAATGCTCAGAGAAGATATCAAAGATTATTACACAGACCTCTCCATCCTGCAGAAGGATGTCAAGGTCCCTACTAAGGTAATGGACTGACCAGCACTCCTTATCATTGGCTATTTATGGCATGTGAACCTTGATAATTGTGCCGAGGTGGTAGGTGATGGTATCAAAGTCCCTTTTGCTCTTAGTTTCCATAAAAGGCTCGATGTTGAGCTTGTGAGTTACTTACTTCTCAGTGGTTCTAGAGAAGGCAGAGAGGCATCCAGTTTTACCTTTTATCTTGAGAACTAACTGAACTTCGAGACATGGAGACATTCTGTTTTAAATTTTTAAAATTTATTCTTCTCTCATACATTACATCCTAACTGGTTTCCCCTCCCTCCTCTCCTCACAGTCCCTCCCATTCTACCTCCTTTCTCTCTCAGATCTGCTCCTCCTCCATTTCCCTTCCCTTCATAAAACAGCAGGCCTCCCATTGATATCAACCAAACAGGGCATATCAAGTTACAATAATACATACCCTTGTCAAGACTGGACAAGGAAACCCGGTAGGAGGAAAAGGATCCCTAGAGCAGGCAAAAGAGTCAGAGACACAAAGCTACACAACCGTAATGTATATGCAGAGCTAGGTCAGCTCCATGCAGGCCCTGATTGTTGGTTCAGTCTCTGCCAGCCCTATGAACCCTGGCTAGTTGATTCTGTGGGCCTTGTTCTTGTGATGTTCTTGACCCCTCTGGCTTCTACAACCCTTCCTTCCCTTCTTTGACAGGATTCCCCAAGGTCTGCCTAGGTGTGGAGACATTCTTATTTAGGGCTTTAAAGTCACACGTCTTGGTTAAAATGATTTATCTGTAGTACCTGCTACTCATTGAACTTTTGTGGTATATTAAATCCTAGGTGTTATGTGTTCTCTGGGACTTGGAAACCGAAGAAGTTGAAGACATACTGCAGGAGTTTGTTAATAAGTCTCTCTTATTCTGTGATCGGAATGGAAAGTCATTTTGCTATTATTTACATGACCTTCAAGTAGATTTTCTTACAGAAAAGAATCGAAGTCAGCTTCAGGTACTTAACATCTCCTTACATGTGTTTTTACTTTTTATTTTGAAACAGTTTAAGACTTGATATACAAAGATATACAAGACACACTACCAGCTTCCTTTGTATAAACTTTTGCTCTGTTTCCCTTATTGCTAACACCTTACACAACTATAATACAGTTATCCAAGCCAGGAAATTACCAACAATGTACTATTATTAGCTAGTTCACAAGTGTTTTAAATTTTACCTCCTTCTCTACCAATGTTCTTTGTATGGCCCAGACTCAATTCATGATCCCATGAAGTATCTGATGATGGCAGCATCTTTTTCCTATTTGTCATCTCCCTAATGTCCTCAGATCTGTGAAAAGTCCTCAGTTAATTTAAAGAGGGTTCCCTCATTTGATGTTGACTGCTGTCTTCTGAGTGGGTTGAGGTTACGCCTACTGGGCAAGAGTAACGCAGGTGCTGGAGAGATGGCTCGGTGATTAAGAGTATGTGCTCTCAATTGCCTGTCACTCCAGTTTGGGAGGACATGACAGCTCCTTCTGGTCCCTGCAGGCACCTGCAGTCAACGTGCACAATTTTTTGTTGTTTTATTTTGTTTTCTAGACAGGGTTTCTGTGTGTAGCCTTGGTTGTCCTGGAGCTCACTCTGTAGACCAGGCTGGCCTCAAACTCACAGTGATCTGCCTGGCTCTGCCTCCTGAGTGTGCAGTACCATGACCTGGCTTGTTGGGTTTTTTTTTTTTTTTTTTTTAAGGAATTACACAGAAATGATGCTGTGCTTTTCTTTCACCCTATCAGAGATTGAGGTTGATGTGTCTTATGGATAATGTAGATGTTGATTATTTTGTTAAAGGGGTATTTACTTGATTTCTCCACTGTAAAACTACGAACTTTCCCTTTGGTTACTAGCTTGTTGGGGAAATTTTCTTTAGATACTCTATTGCTCAGGTTATATTGTTTGTGTCTTCTGACATGCTTGATTTGTGTTTCAGGATCTACATAGGAAAATGGTCACTCAGTTTCAGAGGTATTACCAGCCAAATACTCTATCTCCAGATCAGGAGGACTGCATGTATTGGTATAACTTCCTGGCCTATCACATGGCCAGTGCTAATATGCACAAAGTAAGATGGCAATTTGAAAATTCCTTTATTTAATTTAACTTTTCCATATGTGTAAATGTTTTTCCCCATTGGGTTTATTTATTTTTCTTAAAGATTTTATTTTTATTTTATGTGTTTTGGCTGCATGTGTGTATGTGCACCTTGTGTATGCAGTACCCACGGATGCCAGAAGAGGGTGCCAGCCCCTGGAACTGGAGTTACAAATGGTTGTGAGCTGCCTGATGTGGATGCTGGGAACAGAACCTGGTTCCTCTGCAAGAACAGCCAGTGCTCCTAACCACTGGGCCATCTCCCTAACACTCCCTTGAGTTATTTCTTAATATTTATGGATATTACTTTCTATTTTACTGGATGTTTGAATTTTACACAGTTAAATGCTATGTAAAATTTTTCTTTGGTGTTGTGCTTTATCCTATTAGAATTAAAATAATCATTTATTACATTTATTTACTTTGTATGTTTATATGTGTGGGTATTTGCACGTGGAAGTCAGAGGGTAGCTGTGGGAGCTGAATCTGTGCTTCTGTGATAATGTGTCCTAAGGGGTGGATTTAGGTTGACAGGTTTGGTGGCAAGCACCTTTACTCTCTGAGCCATCTTGCCAGATCTAAACTTTTTTTTTAAGTAGTGAAAATGTCTTATGTGAGATTTTTTTCCATTTTTTTCTTGTGACTAAAAAGAAAAGTGAATCCGTGTGTCCTCTTAGCTGTAGCTCCTCTTTGTTAGCAGTGTGGCTTTGTTTATAAGCTTTATGTAGAAATGGAAGTAGGGATGGATAGTCGTTCATTCATCGGGTACTCATTGAGTACTTGTTGGACAGTGGCATTGTTCCTCATTCTGAGTCTAAACCACAGACAGACTGTGTGCTTTCGTTAACAGACAATGGGGATGGGAAACAATACATTCATAGTAAGACAATAAGTAAATCGTAGAAGGGAAGGAAGGGACAATAAAGGGAATACCCATGATTTGCTGGTGGATTTGATGTGCATTATTACAGAAGGAAGAATGAAAGATGACTACAGGCATGTGCAGTGGAAAGACTCCAGTTGCTGTGACATGAAAAATGCAATTGAGAAGGAGATGGTTAGGGATTGACATCGATGAGCTTAACCCTAATATACCTACCTACTAAGACATCTGATTGCAGACATTGAGTAAGCTGTTAGATAAGTAGATTCTGAGAATTATGGACAAAGGATAAAAATTGGGAATCTATACACATGAAGTCATGACTACAGCCACACCATGCAATACTGTCTGTTAGATGTGATGTGACTATTGTCTGCATAAAACCTGCATAGATCAAGCTATTGAAAAATTCCAGTTCAGGGCTGGGTAGACCAACCAGGCTGGCCTTGAACTCAAGAGATCCACCTGCTTCTGCCTCCCAAGTGCTAAGATTAAAGACATGCCCCACCCCACCTGTGTCAGTGCATTTTCTTAAAGATTTTGTTAGATATGATAGTATGACAGAATTTTTTTCTTTAGCCTTTATTCTGATTATAAAGGTAGAGATTTAATTTCTTTGAAGAATGTAGAAGACATCTTCAGTAAAGACAATGAAGACTACAGTAATTGCCAATGATTTTATATACTGATTTCTAGATCATTTTCTACGTAGACACTTGGTTTTTTAAAAACAAAGAGGAATCATGCATAATAGAAATATATATTACATATTGCTTTTTACCACATACCACATTACCAGCGGGTGCCATGATTTCAGACACTGGCAAACTGCAACCTGAGTGGTGTGCTCCTCTCCACAAGCTTTCTTTGTGTGGCAGTCAGAGTGCCAGTCCTCAGAGACACTCTGCATTCCTAGGCATGACCTCATTTAGGGAAATCTTCAATTGCCTCAAAAATAACTTGTTTAATGGGGCACTCCAAGTTATTTAAAGTTAGCTGTGCTATTGAAATATGTGTTGGTAGGTAAAGGTGCTTGCTGCCCAGCTGGATGGCTTAAGTTCTAATTCAAGAACCCGTATGGTAGGAGAGGGAGAGAACTGGCATCCACTTCAGCATGCACACTGTACCCTGCCCCATGTCCTAGATCTCCATTTTGAAATATATTCCTGAAACATCCATCCACTGGTGGCAAGGGCAGCTAAACAAGAACATGGACCTAAAATGACTCTAGTCACATGTGGCTAGTCATTGTAATGGGTGAGAGGTCAGCAAACTGTGGCCCACAGCAGAAGCCAGATCTCAGTTTGTGCCAGGAAATGAAGTGTTATTATCAGAATATAACACTACTACTTCTTGGCGTGTCACTTATGGTTGCAGGACAATAGTAGAGATGCTGGGCTGGAGGTGCAGCTTGGTGGGACAGTGCTTGCCTAGCATGTGTGAAGTCTTGGGTTCAGTCCCCAGAACCACAAAAAACAAACAAGCAGTCCAAAATAGTGGCGATAAGTAGTCACAGTGATTTCTGGGGCTGCAAATATTCAGAGTTCTGGCTGCTCTAGCAGAAGACCTAAGTTTAGTTCCCAGCACTCATGCCAACTCACAACCATGTGTAACTCAGTCCCTGGGGACTCCCTTTTCTGGTTTCTTCAGGCACCTGACATGCATGTCCTGCACATACATATATATTCAGGCAGACACTCATACACAAATACATAACTGTATTTGATAGTTATCTTTTAATGTCACTTTTCTGGAGTGATACAGCTTTTAAAGCAGCCTACTGCTTTTGTGAGCATGTAAATGTATGTTCTTCAAGTCCTTGTACATGTGTGTACACGTGGAGAGCAGGTGTTGTTTGGGTATTATTTTTCAGGAAGTATCTATGTTGTGTATCTATTTAATTGAGGTAGGTTTCTCATGGGCCTGAGACTTTTCACTCTGGCTTTTCTCCGTGGGTTCTGGATCAACTCAGGCCTTCATGCTTGCACAGGACATGTGACCACTGAGTCATGTCCCCCAGCTCCCATACTGTATCCCTGTAGAGCAATCCTGAGACTGGGAAACTGGTTGAGGAACATGTTGCTTAATATACAATATGTACTGGCTGAATCCAGATTGTCAAACCATTCTGTAGAAGAATGTTGTCTACTATATCACTACCACGAGTGGATGTTCATTTTGTCTCATAATAGCCAATATTCTTTTTAATTCGCTTGCTTTGTTTTTCAAGACAGGATTTCTCTATGTAATCCTGACTGTCCTGGAACTCACTCTGTAGTCCAGGCTGGCCTCAAACTCAGAGATCACCTGTCTCTGTCTCCTGAGTGCTTAGATTAAAGGCATTGACTATAGCTAATATTCTTACCATTCCTTTAGTTTTAGCAATCCACTGTTATAAAAGTGGTAAACCTTTCATGTTGATTGCTGGTGAAATCTTGATTATTGGTTCTATATACATTTATTTTGTGATTAGCTCCCTTCTTTTTACCATTCTAGGTCTTTCTGTGTAGCCCAGTTTAGTTTTAGTTTTGTTGTCCTCCTGCCTCAGCCCCTTGAGCGCTGAGAATATAGGTGTATGGCACCACAGTTGAGGTGTCACCTAGTTTTTTTTCTTGTTGGCATTTATCTGTTATTGTTGTTTCGTTATGATGTTCTATAAAGAATCACATTAAGCCCTACTCTATTATGTGTTACAGTAAAGTTTATTCATATATTTAAAAAAGTTTTGTATGTATTACTTTCTACTGTATAAAGTAATAATTTGGATTTTTATCTAGTTAAATGTGTACATGTGTTTGTGTATGTATATATGTGTATGTTTGCACATGTGAGCATCGCACATGTGTTTGTATTTTGTTTTTGTGTTATGATTGCAAAGATTTCCTTTACCCCAGAGTTACAAAAATAATTTACCTAATTTTTTGTATTTTTAAAATTTCTATTTTATATTTAAATCCTTTACACAACTGAAGTTTATTTTGGGTTAAGAAGTAGTTTTGGGCCCATTTCATATTTCTTTGGAATTCTGTGTTTATTTTGCCATCTTCTGGTCTCAATTTTATATATCTGCCAAGTGTTTCTCAGTAGTGTTAGGATAATGATGCAGAGCTGAAATTCCTTTTTTTTTTTTTTTAGAGGTGTTCCGAGCCCCTATCTTACTACGTTTTCTCTATTTTTAAGGAACTTTGTGCTTTAATGTTTTCCCTGGATTGGATTAAAGCAAAAACAGAACTTGTTGGCCCTGCCCATCTCATACATGAATTTGTGGAATACAGGCATATATTGGACGAAAAGGTATATTGAAAACAGTATTTTGTTTTTATTTTGTTGTTTTCAAGCTAGGGTTTCTCTGTGTAGCCTTGGCTGCCTCATAGTGAGCTCATTGTGAGGACCAGGCACAGAGATCTGCCTCTGCCTCTCATGTACTGGGATTAACAGTGTGGAGCCACCAAACCCAGTGATAATGAGATTTTTTTAAGAAAGTATGTATTATATATAGTGTTCTGTCTGCATATATCCCTGCAGGCCAGAAGAGGGCAGCAGATCTCATTACAGATGGTTGTGAGCCATCTTACGGTTGCTGGAATTGAACTCAGTTCCTCTGGAAGAATAGCAGCTAGTGTGTTTAACCTCTGAGCCATCTCTCCAGCTCCTGATAATGAGATTTTTACTCTTGAGTCTAAAACTAGAGGAGCACTGTGTATTTATTTATTTATAGACCCAGTATTTCTTTCTTTCTGCACTGCTTTCACTTGAAGTCTCTGTCAATGAAATTAATCAAAAATTCTTTAATTTAGCCTAAGGCGGATTCATAGGACAAGGCAAGACAGCTTGCCGAAAGTTTGCCAGACTATCACAGAAATAGTCTCTAGCCCAGTTGCTAATGTTGTCCCACTCTGACGCCTCTTGAGGTGGCCTCTATAGTCCACATTGCTCTCAGCACTACTGTCTTCCAAGCTTCTACTAGGATGGCGGGGTAAACCCCACTTACGCCAGTCAGCTGCTGTTCTTGTCCAGAGTCCCATTGTCTTCCATATTTCTTCCAAACCAGTATGGGCAGGCCTGTCCTGCAATACCTCAGTCCCTGGCAGCAACCTTGTATCTTATGTACTTTTCTGTTGCTATGAGGAGATGCTAAGGCACCTTATAAAATAAAGCAATTAATTGGGGGCTTGCATACAGTTTCAGAAGGCATGTCCATGACTGCCATGGCAAAGAACATGCAGACACGCAGGTTGGCGTAGCATTGAAGCAGTATCTGTGAGCTTACATACTGACATGTTGAGACAATGAGCTAACACGTTGAGTAACAGCCAGGAGGCAGAGAGAGGGAGAGAGAGAGAATATGCACGCGCACTAACTGCGTATTCATTGCCTAGTGGTTGACTGGTGTATTCTAGTTCATGTAGGGAATGTTTCATTGAAGGTTCTGGCTATGTGTCTAACAGATTTCAGTTCATTCATAGGACTGTGCAGTCTGTGAGAATTTTCAAGAGTTTTTGTCTTTAAATGGACACCTTCTTGGACGGCAGCCATTTCCCAATATTGTACAGCTGGGCCTCTGTGAACCAGAAACTTCGGAAGTGTATCAACAAGCAAAGCTGAAGGCCAAGCAGGAGGTGGACAGTGGGAGGCTTTACCTCGAGTGGATGTGAGTTGCTGGAGAGACCAGACTCCGTTATTAATTGTTCTTTTCCTGATGGTAAATAAATGCACTCTGTGAGACTTAACTACTTTTAGAAACTTACTGAGTGTTCCTGCTTGGTGGAAAGTTCCAGAGAAGTAAGCATAGGAGAAAATAATTACATTGTCACGGTTCCTAGAAACAGACAGACAGGTCATCCTAAATATTAATATCAAATACTACTATAATCTAGTGTTCTAGTGATGACCATGGACTTGGAGCCAAGACTTAGATCTGAGTCTCCATACTAAAACATTATCTTTTTGTGATTTTTGAACATACCATACTTTCTCATGTGGGAAATGGAGATGATGATCCTTTGAGATAAATAGATTTAAGTGAGATAATGCCTAATTAGTCACCTTTTCTTTGCCACAGAGACGTTATTTAATGAATCTAATTGAATTCTTCCATAACTTTAAAAAAAGCATTTCTAGTCTTCTTCTCTTTTATATTTATATGTGTATGGCTTGCATCCATGAATGTGTACATGTTTATAAGTATGTGTGCAGTGTGTGTGCACCTGTGGGCATGTGGATGTGGAAGACCTAGATTTAGGTCAGGAATCTTCCATGGTTGTTCTTTGAGACAGCATATCTCAGTCAAAGCAAGGGCTCCCTGATATGGCGGATCCTGCCGGCAGCTTCCTCTGGAAATCTTCCTGTTTGTCTACACCTTCTGAGGCTGGGGTTATAGGTGAACTGCCGTGCCCACCTAGCATTTAGATGGACTTTGGGGACCCAAAGTCCTCTCATCTTGATGAGGCATTTTCCCCAGCCTGACTCTTCTTCACCCTACCCCCCCCCCCCTTTTTTTTTAATTTAGCAGATGTGTTATTTAGCCGGGCATAGTGGCGAACACCTTTAATCCCAGCACTCAGGAGGCAGAGGCAGGCAGATCTCTGTGAATTTGAGGCCAACCTGGTCTACAAAGTAAGTTCCAGGACAGTCAGCGCTTTACAGAGAAACCCTATCTTGAATAAAAGATGTAAAAGTTGTGTTATTTATTTTTGTTATGTATAGTGTATATCTGATTAAGTTCATGTACACTACATGCATGTAGGTGTCTAGAGGCCGGAGAGCACTAGACTTACAGGTGATTGTGCTTTTGCATTTTTACTAAGATTTATTTATTATGTATACAGTATTCTGTCTGCATGTGTGCCTGCATGACAGAAGAGGGCACCAGGTCTCATTGTAGATGGTTGTGAGCCAACATGTGGTTACTAGGAATTGAACTCAAAACCTCTGGAAGAGTATTCAGAGCTCTTAACCTCTGAGCCACCTCACCAGCCCCCTTTACAGGTGATTGTGAGTCATCTGATGTGAGTACTGAGAACCAAACCTGGGCCCTATGTAAGAGCAGTAAGTGCTGTTAACTGCTGAGGCATCTCTCCAGCCCTAGCTCTTCCGTATCTTAAAAAAGGCTGTTCACAGGGCAGGAGAGAGAGCTGTTTTTAAAATCACACTTATTTATTTACTTTGAGTATGTGTGTTTTGAGGTGTGGGTGAATGTGCACACCTGTGTCAGGACTGCTTGCAGAAGTTGGTTCTCTCTCCTCTAGGTGGGTTCCAGGGACTGAGCTCAGGTTGTCTTGAGGCTTGGATGGAAGGGTCAGTACCTGCTGAGCCATCCTACTGACTCATAGTATACCTCTTGATGAAGCAGCAGCAAATTGAAGAGCTGTAGTGATAGGTCAGACGTTAAGAGTGCTTGCTGCTCTTGCAGAGGACTCAAGTTCAGTTTCCAGGGGCATTTGACGTCTCCGGCCTTCGTGGGCACTGCGCTCTCAGTCACATACCCACACAGATATGCTCACATAATCTCCTTTCCATACTCAACCATCATTTAACATTTTCTTCAAAAGTGGAATTTTACTTCCATTAAAGCAAAGTGAAGGGTATCTTTTCACTCAAGGTAGCAGCCATTCTAACTTGTGGGGACTCCATTAGATCTGTTGATGTTCTAGAATCCTTCTTGCTTTTTCTCTTCTCCCTTGTCAGTCTTTGTTGTGATTATCTAACTACTTGCTTTTTCTTCTATATTAGTCTATCTAATGGGATAAGCTTAAACCTGAGTTTATGTTTTCAAAGAAGTAGTTTGGTCATGCATTTGTTATCATTGTGAAGGTCACTGTCTTAGCTTTGAGGAACTGTAGATGACCAAAGGAATGGCAGGTTTTGTTTTGTTTTGAAGACAGAATCTAGATGTTTAGCCTGAGCTTGAACACTGGGTCCTTCTACTTAAGTCTCCCAAGTATCTGAGATTGCAAGTGTGTGCCATTGCATTCAACTAGAAGATTATATTCTTAATCTATTCCTCCTAACTTTGCAAGTAGCTTATGTGGTCTTACGGGTTGTTGTAATTTTGATTCTCATAATATACCTATTTATCACTTCTGGTGAAGTATAATTGTTTTCTACACAAGCTCGTAGTCTGGTTTTTCTCTAATACTTGGTTCTATCTTAAATGCACATACAATCTTTATCCCTGAGCTTGTGGGCAATAATATAATATCCCTACTAATGACGTAGTTGGCATTCTATTGAATAAGATAGAGAGAAAATGACATTGCTTTATCTGTCCCCATATCCCACCCCCATTGTGAGTGGGGTTAGAGAAAAAACGTTTTAAAAGTTTATCATCACAATGGTGGGTGGAGTGTCACATGTAGTGTGAGTTTCATTCTGCAGTGGTTTCTTTCATTTTAAAAGTGTTTTTAAAAAAGATGTGCTTACGTGTATTACGTTAATGTGTCAAAAGAAAATAGAGGTGCTGGAGAGATGTGTCAGTGACTAAGAGCACTTGCTATCGAGGTGCTGGTTTAGTTCCTAGCACCCACATGGTGGCTAACAACTGTCTGTAACCAGTTCCAGAGATACGATGCCGTTTTCTGATCTGATCTGCACTGTGCTCAGATGTACATGCAGGCAAAACACAAATAAGTCAAATCAAATATTTTTTTTTAAAGGGAAAATATAAAGTGGCATGTGTTTGATTGTGTAGATGTCTCTTAACTCAGTGACATTTGTAACATATGCCAGGTGGCTTGATTTAAGATAGTGTTTCTCGTAGGAATGTTACTTTCGTTGGATTACTTTTTTTCTTTAGGTGTTCAGTACTGTCATTTGCATGTTAGGAATTCAAGAATTTTGTAATTGGGATAAATAAGACCATGTTAAAATGTACTTATTATTGAAATAAAACATTGCTTTTATTCTTAGTCATTGAATTTCTCTTCATTTTTCACTTGTATTTAGAAATAAGAAGACTATCAAGAATCTCTCCCGCTTAGTTGTCCGCCCCCACACAGATGCTGTTTACCATGCATGCTTTTCTCAGGATGGTCAGAGAATAGCTTCTTGTGGAGCCGATAAAACCTTACAGGTAAGGCACACCTCTTGGAAAAAACTGGAAGAGGCATGTGGTCTGCTTGTGCAGATTAGAATATGTTTAAATACTAAAATTTGGGAAAGTGGCAATCCAGAAGTAAAGAAATGTAAAACTCTGGACATTTGCAGAAGTTTCTTCAGAATATTAAAGGTATAGATGTCTTTAGTTGTTTCAGGCATGCCAGGGATGTTGAGGAACTCTTTACCTTGGTAGTTACTGTTCATCCATTTGCCAGTTATGAGCAATGAGAAAAAGACAGTTCTTAACAGCAGGCAGACACAAATAGAGCTTTGCTGGAGAAACATTGGTTAAACAAATTACCAAAGGCTGAGACCCTGACTTCTGACTGAAAACAGGCATTAGACTAAACTAGTTCCAAAGGTGCTTTAGTTCACGCTTTTTTGAAAAATATCAATAGTGCTTCCTCCTGCCCACGCCGACGTTTGTTCTCTGTCTTCGTATTGAAGAAAAATGAATCAAGTTAGCGCGACTTTTATATTTAGAGTAATTCTAGTCTTCCCAAGGTCATAACTGAGGAGTATACAGAAACAGGTTTTCTGTAGTACTTGATTACTGGTTATATTAATTTGGCATTAAAACAATGTCCCTGAAGTGCTGGGGATTGAACTCAAGGTCTTGTGCATGTTGGGCAATCACTCTACTACTAAACTAGATCTGCAGCCTGGTTTATTTCTTTTCTTTTCTTTTTTTTTTTTTTTTTTTTGAGCCCCTAAAGAAAGCACATTTGATTGTTTAGAATTTGTCAATATAATCACAAGAACTGAAGCTATATTTTATCACTTCCTCTTAGTGATATTTAGCAACACTTAACAGTGGGGACTTCCCTGTTTATGCTTACACTTAGGAAATCTGATGAATTCTGATTTTTGAGTCATTTTGTTAAGTCTCATTTATGCTTTGAAAATAACAGTGATTTAGAACTTGCAGAGATGTGTTTCCATGAATGCCGCCCTCTAGATCAGTGGTTCACAGTAAAGAGACTTCCCATTGTTGCGCAGGTCTTCAAAGCCGAGACGGGGGAGAAGCTTCTGGAGGTCAAAGCTCACGAAGATGCAGTGCTCTGCTGTGCATTCTCTTCAGATGACAGTTACATAGCCACCTGCTCAGTGGATAAAAAAGTTAAGGTACAGTACTGGGGCAGCAGCCCGCCCACACGGCAGCTCATAACCCCTGTAACTCCAGTTCAGAACCACACACTTCTAACCGCTGCGGACACTGCGTGCCTTTCCCTGCTGCGCATACACGCGTTCAGGCAAAATACTCACATACATAAAAATAAAGCGAGGTAGGAAAACATTTCCATCTTGAGTTAAAATCACAACGGCTCATCTTCTTTTTCTGATTTAGTTTTGTTTAGTCATGTGTACATGTGTGTGTCTGTACAAATGAAATGCAATGCCTGCAGAATCCAGCAAAGGGTGTTGGGTCCCATGGAGCTGGAGTTAATAAATGCTTATTAGCCTCTTAAAGTGGGTGCTGGGAACTTGTGTCTTTTGGAGGAGTGCTGTGTGCTCTTAATTATTAACCCCAAATCCTTCTTCTTTTTTTTTTTTAATTCTTTTTTTTTATTACTTAAAGAATATTCCCCCTTTTATTAAAAATAGATCCACTTCTCAGACAGCGTATCGTGGTGACGGTTTCCCGCCCTCGCTCCACCCAGTTCTTCCCCACCCCCTCTCCCATCTGGGTCCATTCTGACCCCATCCGCAGAGGTAGACTCACATTAGTGGGGACGTCTGTCCCCACAGGAGGTAGCATCTGCAGAGTGGCCTACATTTGCTCATTCTTGCTGTGTTTCCCTCCAAAATAATAGGTGTTTATACATCCTGTTTTCTTTATTTGTAACATGAAAAGTAAAAGACCCAGATACTGTCATGGGCTGCAAGCTGAAGAACAGAGGAGCAAAGCAGCCAAGTCAGTCATCTTCCCTCTACCCAGCTGAAATGGCAATCCTGTCTCCACAAATCCTCAGGGGCTAAAAGCTCTCAGATCCTGTCTCCTCCTCCTTATATTCCTTTCTCCATGCAGCCACACCCTCCTGTCTCCACCCCCCCCCCCAAGTGCTGGGATCAAAGGCGTGAGCTCTGTTACTCTTCACTCTTTTGTAGGCCAAGGTGGCCTTGAACTCAGAGAGATCTGTCTGCCTGTCTCCTGAGTGCGGGGATTAACAGTGTGTCTCACCACTGCCTGACCTCTATAGCTTGTGAGTGGCTTTGCTTTCTGCATCCTCAGGCAAGTTTTAATGAATCATAAATAATATATCGCCACATGTGCTCTCTTCAGATTTGGGATTCTGCGGCTGGGAAGCTAATACACACCTATGACGAGCACTCAGAGCAAGTCAATTGCTGCCATTTCACCAACAAAAGTAATCCCCTCCTCCTGGCCACTGGCTCAGATGACTTCTTCCTCAAAGTAAGTGCAGGCACCGAGAGTGAAGCCTAGGAAGTCGGCTCACCAGACATGTCCTTGGATTTTCTCCTGTGTACTCTGAGTGGTTTTCTGTTTTCTTCTCTCTCTCTCTTTGGAGACAGGGTCTCACTGTGTAGCTCTGTCTGTCATGGAACTCACGCTGTAGACCAGGCTGGCCTCGAACTCACAGAGATCCACCTGCCTCTGCCTCCCGAGTGCTGGGATTATAGGCGTGCACCTCTGCTGCACCCAGCTGTTATTTCATTGATTTATTTTTAATTCTACTGCGAGGGATTGGCCAGGTCCTCATGATGTGCTAAGTACATCCCAGCTCCTTCCAGGCTTATTACAACGATGGAAATGCCCATATCCTAAGCTTCATATCCATAAACAAATAATGGGGGAAAAAGGCATTATTATCTTATACAACTGAAAAGTCTGCCATGAGCATGGATTCTGGTGTTGGCTTTGCAGATGCATCAGCTGTATTCTCAGGTCCTCCCTCCCCATCTCTGGTCTCTCCCTGTGTGGTGGTGCAGTCATACTGTCGTTGTGTGACCAAATCCCTCAGCTCCAGGTTTGGTTTCCTTTGTCTCAAAGTTCCTAGTCACAGAGGAAGAGAAGCTTGTCCTAGATCCTGTAGTGCAGCTTCATTGTTGTGTAGCTGCAGTGCTGGAGTGTGGAGTCCTTGGGTAATAGAAGACTGTATCTTGTGTTCTCTTTTAGTGGATGAATATAGGTAGGTTAAATATTCTGGGGTTCTAGAAAGAGGCTATCTTCTTTTGGATTTTTTAAAAAATTAATTTTGTTTCAAACCTTTGGTCCACAGTGTCATACCATTTTTACAAAGGGATATGAGAGTTTTAGGAGGTGTAGGTAAAACATTTTAGCAAACCTCAGGCTGTTGTGTGTGGTAACCAACCCTGTAATCTCAGCACTTGGGATGGTGAGGCAGGAGGAGCCTGGGTTCTACAGCCTGGGCTACAGAGTAAAACTGTGTCTCAGACAGTTTCTGTTTTAACTTTTCAGAAGGATAAGGAACCTTCGTGATAGAGTGCCTGTTATGAGTAGGTTTTTCTTGGCAGCCTGATCCCTCAGCTGGGCCAGCCCCAAGTAACACACAGAGGCACTGTATTAGATAGAAAGCTGTTGGTCAGTTACTAGTTTCTTATTGGCTGGCTCTGTCTTCAATATCAACCCATTTCTATCAGTCTAAGTTACCGGAGGGAGGGCCCGGACCTCTGTTCTCCCGTCTCTGCATGCTGACTCCTCCCTCCTACTTCCTTGACTCCTCCTTGTCTCCTAGTCCCGCCTATCTTGCTTTCCTATTGACTTTATTCATTAACCAATAAGAGAAACATATTTACAAATGACATTTCCCATCATCTCCTTTTTTCTGTCTAAAATAAAAAGAAGGGTTTTAACCTTAGCATAGCAAAACATATCACACAAGAGTTATCAAATAAGAATCACAGTTAACAATATTTAGTCCATTAACATTTAGCAAGATTTAAAGAAAATATTCTATCATCTATCCTATCTTTGTGGGTCTAAAGTCTATATGTAACTTATCTTTAATCCTAACTAAGGAAAACTATAGCTCAGTAGGTAGAGCATGAGACTCTTAATCTCAGGGTCATGGGTTCGAGCTCCACATTGGGTGCCATTTTATTATGAGTAGTTATTCCCTGCTGGCCTGGTCCCAGAGCTGCACCAGTCCCAAATAATACACAGAAAGGTGCTGTATTAGATATAATTCTGTTGGCCTGTTACTAGTTTCTTATTGACTAGCTCTGTCTTAAATATTAATCCATTTCTATTAATCTGAGTATTTCCACATGGTCTTATCTTACCGGAGAGAGGGCCTGGCGTACTACCCTGTAGGTTTTCCATCTTGAATCTCCTCCCTCCTTCTTCCTCTCTCCTCCTAGTCTCCTAGCCCCGCCTATCTTGCTTTCCTATTGGCCAACAGTGCTTTATTCATTAACCAATACGAGAAACATATTTGCAGAATGGCATCTCCCATCAAATGCCCCCTGACATTTGCAGGGCCCCAGCTTCCATCTTCAGCACTGCAAAAAATAGAAATAAGATTTCCCCCGTCCGACTTTATACAGGCTTTATCTATATCCTACACTTGACTTTTTATTTAGAGCAGATCCTACAATTGTCATTTATGTCACATGGAATATTTCAGCTTTACTGTTAGATTAAGTGCCATGCCATGTCCACACCTAACAGGGGGACACTGTAATTTTGTTACATACTTGGCCTGTGCTAATTTTCTCATATGTGGTCTCATTGAAGGCTTTGTTGTGTTTAAGGCCTTAATAACTTTTAGTCTAGTTAGGTATCTCAAGGTTTGGGAAGTCTTAGAAATAAGTACACTTTTCTTAGTTCATTTTTGTAACCTAACATTTAAAAGTATGGATATAATTTACACAGTACTTATTGATTTTTGTAGCTAATTAAATATGATTTTGTAGCTAATTAAACATGATGATTCTAAACCACACTGTTAAAATTAAGCAACAGTTGTTCAGTTAATTTAGTGTTCAGACTAAAAGCCTCCTGAGGCCTTCAAGTTCCATAGTGGATTGAGATGTTGATCCAAAGGTTGCCCTGTTATTAATCAAAGTTTATCTTCATGTTTGACACCTTTGTGTTACTATGAATTGAACACCATTCAATAGCCAAAAAGCTCAAATGAAAAGGAAGAAATTAGAATGATTATTTACTTTAACCTATTTAGCTTAGCTTAACTTTTCTCTTTTTAAATTAATTTTTTTGTGTGTGTGCCATTGTGTGTGGGTGCCCATGGAAGCCAGAGAAGAGGGCCCTGAATTCTCTGGCGCTGGAGTTTCAGGCTGTTGTGAGCTACTGATGTGGATGCTAGGGACTGAACTTGGGTCTTCTGGGAGAGCAGCAAATGCTCTCTGGCACCCATTTAGTATAGATTTCAGACCCCAACCCCACCTCCAGTCCCCCTCCCCCACTTTCCCCGTCTCTACTTCTCCCTTTCACCTTGCTGGGACTGGTCTAGAAGGTTTGAGATTCAAGTGACCCTTCCGTTTCAGCCCAAGTAGTTGGAGCTGTAGGTGAATTCACCACACCAGGATCCAGCACTAACTAGTATTTCCTCATCTTTTTTTCTTTCCAAATAGCTCTGGGATTTGAATCAAAAAGAATGTCGAAATACTATGTTTGGGCATACAAATTCAGTCAGCCACTGTAGGTTCTCACCGGATGACGAGTTACTGGCTAGCTGTTCAGCTGATGGAACATTAAAGGTAAGATTTTGCACATCACTAGAGGCTTCTAATTTTTAGAGAGATCCTTATGATTCCGGTTGAATATAAGTTTCTGTTGGTGTTAGTAGTGTTCCAAAACTGTGACCCAGTACCTGAGATAAAAACAACTTGAACTTGTAAAGGAGGAAAGGCCATCTGTGCTTACAGTTTCAGAGGTTTTAATCTCATCCTGTGTCTCTGCCAGTGCCAAGGCAAGTGCCTGTGGGGTGTGTGTGGGCAAATTGCTTACCTAATGGCATCTTGAAGCAAAGAGGGAACCAGGAAGGAGCCAGGTCCCACTTGGTCTCCTAACCTGGTTTCTTCTAAGCGCCCCCCCCCTTTTTTTTAAATTTCCTTTAAAATATTTCTTTTATGCATAAGTGCTATCTGCATGTACACCTTTATGCCAGGTCCCATTAGAGATGGTTGTGAGCCACCATGTTGTTGCTGGGAATTGAACTCATGACCTCTGGGAGGTCAGATACTGCTCTTAACTGCTGAGCCATGTTTCTAGCACCTAACGTGTCCCCCTCCCCCATTCTTAAGGCTCTAAAACCCCCTGATGCCAGTGCCACAGACTAGGGACCACACCTTCAGCTCAAGCCTTTTACAGGTTTCTAGACCTAAGCTGTGGCATCATTTTTATCTGTCTGTAGAAAAGAGCCTTCCCCTTCAGCTTCTGAGACTCTCTGACATACTGTTACTTTTGAATGGTTTATAATCTAATGTTTAAGTCCTTAGCTTTGGGCACATATTACATCTTAAGCACTGGGTGTTAAATGCTAGAAGGAAAATGGTGTGCTCCTTGGTCTGCTTATGCAGAGTGAAGTTTGGGAAGAAGGTCAGTGGATAAACTGAAAAGGACAATTATATGCAAGGCTGATTTCTCTTGTTTTTATTTTAAAGGTTTTGTTTTCTAAAGTTATGTGTATATGTGTATTTTTGTGTGTGGGTATAGATGAAAGGCAATGTATCCTCCTCCCTCTGAACCCATCAGTATCAAATAGTTGAGCAGTGAGGCGAACGGCCTCTGAGTCTCTTCTCAATCCATGCTAGGATATTGCTAGCATGTATTAATAATAAGTTATATGTGCGTGTGTGTGTGTGCGTGTGTGCGTGTGCCACAGCACGTACATGAGGGCAGAGGACAACTTGCAGGAGTTATTTCTCTGCTTCTCCCTTGGTCGATTGCAGAGAATGAGCTCAGGCCCTCAGGTTTGGCCATTTTATGGGCCTGCAGGTCCATTCTTGTGTGCATTCAGTGCAGGCGTTTGCAGCAGCTCTGAGTGTGACTGCTGGCTGCTGTGTCTTGCCCTTTGCTGCCTTTCTCCCTGTCTTCTGGCTGCTGTGTTCTTTCCATCCCCCCATCTGCCATGTTCCCTGGGCCTTAGAGGGAACCGTATGAGTGTCTTGTGTAGGATTTACTTATTCTCAGCACCCGTCAGTCATGAGTGCATTCGCCCCCACTTCCGTGTGAATATGTCTTGCATTTCTATTCCCAGCCATCAGCTGATGGACACGTAGGCTGATTCCAGCTGCATGGTCAGTGCAAAATCCCGGCTGAGAAGTTCGTATGTCATGTTGCTCAGAGACGGGTGTTTGATTTCTGTATTGATTGTGAGTGTCACCGGCAGTGGGGGACAGACGTCACTGCACTCTGGGGGAGAACTGCCTGTGATGATGATGGCTTCCCCACAGTGCTATTAAGCCAGTGTGACTGGCTGGTTTCACAGTGACATGTAGAAAGCAGAGGTCCTGCAGAATGATGCTAGATAACAGCATGTCAAGGCCAAAGCCTTGTGAAGCTTTTATCATCTGAGAGAATAAGAGCTGTAAAATTACTTTATGCCCCAAAGGCTCTGGAATTTTTTTAAGGTTGTTGTAGGGTATCATGTTGACAAGCATGCGTGGTTTTTTTGTTTTTTGTTTTTGTTTTCCTTTTTTTCCTTTTTAGACCGTAATGAGACAGTATTTAAAAATGTTTTATTGGAAGATTGATATTTAAAGTGCACAAGGGCTTAGGGTACACAGGGACCCTGGGAACAGTGCAGTGACGTTTTGGTAGATGTAATGACATTAATTAAATTGTGGTAGCATGTTAAAAATTTCCTAAACTTTAGCATTGGTTTCCTTGTTTGTGCTACTCACCGTAGGACTTCTCATCGGTTCTGTGGGATGTGACCGAAACTTCTGGCAGGGGTGTGTGTGTGTGTGTGTGTGTGTGTGTTCATGCTCATGGTGTGTTTGGAGGTCAGAGGACAGCTTGGGGGAGTTCTCTCCCTTCATCATGAGGCTCCTAGAACTTGAACTCAGCTTGCCAGGCTTGGCAGCACATGCTGTTTTACCCATCACTGAGCCATCTCGCGTGCCTTCTTTCTTGTGTGTTAGGGACACTAACCATGTTAGTTCCTGTTGTCTCTTTTGTTTTATTTTACACAGTATAGCCATAGTTGTCCCTGGGGAAAGGGTTAGGTACGGGTTTGGCTCTGTGTGTGTGTGTGTGTGTGTGTGTGTGTGTGTGTGTGTGTGTGTGCGCGCGCGCGCGTGTGTGTGCGCGCGCGCGTGTGTGTGCGTGTGCGTGTGTGTGTGTGAGTGTGTGTGAGTGTGTGTGTGCGTGTGTGCGCGCGCGTGCGCGTGCGTGTGTGAGTGTGTGTGTGTGCGTGTGTGTGCGTGCGCGTGTGTGTGTGAGTGTGTGTGAGTGTGTGTGTGCGTGTGTGTGTGCGTGCGCGCGTGCGTGTGTGAGTGTGTGAGTGTGTGTGTGCGTGTGTGTGCGCGCGCGTGTGCGTGTGTGTGAGTGTGTGTGAGTGTGTGTGTGCGTGTGTGTGTGCGCGCGCGCGCGTGTGTGTGAGTGTGTGTGTGCGTGTGTGTGCGTGTGTGTGCGCGCGCGCGTGTGTGTGGCCAAGCCTTGTTCTGGGACATGGTAGCCCTTATGAAGCCAGGACACTGCTCCAAGTCAGAGAGTAACCAGCCGTCTATCTTTTCAGAGGCCTTTGCTTTTTGTAGTAGTTATATGGCTGCTCGAGAACAAGGCTTAGCGTGGTTCACACTCAGTTCTCAGGAGCAGGTTAGCTCTGCCACACTGCCCTGTCCACCAAACCTAGCGGAAGCCCTCGCTTCCTCTCCGTATAGCTGTGTCTCTTTTTTGGAGTCTCCTTATCTATGAGTGCCCAGCAGGCACTCATATGTGAAGCACTTCTCATGCTGCCCCAGCAGAGGGCAGCAGCGGCCAGCTGTGAGTCTGTCCTACACTGGTTCTTACTGTCTTCAGCCACTTCCATACTGTGCAAGGCCCAGTTACCTTTCTTCTCCTCCTCCTCCTGCTCCTCCTCCTCCTGCTCCTCCTCCTCCTGCTCCTCCTCCTTTATTGAGATGAGATCTCATGTAGCCCAGGCTGGCTTCAAACACATGATCCTCCTGCCTCAGCTACAAAGTACTAGCATCATAGATGTGCCAGCTCAGGTAACTTTTAATCTAGTTTTATAGACTGCCTTCCCCCACAACTGTGCGTGTGTGAGATGGAAGCTGGAGTTCCTCATTTAAAAGCCTCATAAAGAGCCAGACATTTGTAAAAACTTGTAGAGTGCGTTTGTATGACAAGTGACCTGGTTGTATTTCCAGAGGTGTGGGTTGGAAGTAAAGCCATTCTGTTTGTTTGGAAACAGCTTTGGGATGTGAGGTCAGCGAACGAGAAGAAAAGCATCAGTGTGAAACGGTTCTTCCTGGGTTCAGAGGACCCCCCAGAGGATGTGGACGTCATAGCGAAATGCTGCTCCTGGTCTGCAGACGGTGCTGAAATAATGGTGGCAGCAAAAAACAAAATCCTTGTGAGTCATGCTATCGTAATTCGCTCTGATGTGAAGTTTCAACTTCAGTTACCGTTTTCACTTTCTAGTTTCCCTCCGTGATTTGGGGCAGGCTTCCTAACTGTTCATACTTCTTTGGAGCCCTGCTTTCTGGGGGTATGGAAGGCCAGAAATACTTTTTACTTTCCAAAGAAACACACTGAAAGAACATATAAGGCCAAACACTACAAGAACAGTTTGTAATGTGAAGCCAACCTTCTTCCAGTTTATTATTTTCTCCTTTTTTGTTTTATGTGCATGGGAGCTTCGGCTACATGAGTTTTTGTACCATGTGTGCAATGCCTATGAAGGCCTGAAGAGGGCGCCAGATCCCCTAGGACTGTAGTTTTAGATGCTTTCCCGCTGCCATGTGGGTGCTTGGAATTGAGCCAAGGTCCTTTGGAGGCGCAGCCATTGCTTTTCAGTGCTGAGCCAGGCTTCTAGCCCCACTTCAGTGTATTAGAAACAGAACGCTTTCTTCATCACTTAAAAAAAAAAATCAAGAAACCCACCATTGCTAGGAGTCTCAGCTGGGGTCATCCTTGTAGATTCCTAGGAGATTTTTGCCTGTCCCCAGAATGGCCCCCCTTTCTAGTAGTCTCTTCAGTACTCCCTGTCCCCAACCTGATCACTCGTGTTCCCCACTCTCAGTACACTCAAGAAATCTCTTCTATTTCCCTTCCCAAGATCTGGGCACCCCCATGAACCCTCCAAGATCTGGGCATCCCCCATGAACCCTCCAAGATCTGGGCACCCCCATGAACCCTCCAAGATCTGGGCATCCCCCATGAACCCTCCAAGATCTGGGCACCCCATGAACCCTCCTTGTAGCTTGATCTTCTTGTGGGACTCCTGATAGTGGGAACAGTGGCTGTTTCCAGTTTTTTCCGGCATTTGGGACCCTGTTTATTATGCTGGTCCCCTTGCCCAGCTTAACACAAGGGGAGGTACTTAGTCTAATTGCAACTCGATATGCCATGTTTTGCTCATACCCACGGGAGGCCTGCCCTTTCCTGAACAGATATGGAGGGGGGTGGATTGGGGGTGGGGAAGAGTAGGGGTGTAGGGGTGGCAGGTAGGACTGGGAGGAGAGGGGGACAGGAAACTGCTGCTGGGATATAAAAATAAATACATCTATTTAAAAAATTAAAATAAAAACCAAAACAATTAACATACATTGATTTTGGTGATTTTTCAAAGTACTTAAAATATTCATTTTAAATTATGTGTACGTGTTGTGTGTCTGTGTGTGTCTGTACATGTGACAGGCTGAAGCCACAGGCACTGGGTCCCCTGAAGGGACCACACTTGTGTCCTTTTGAAGGACAGTGAGTACTCTTAACTGCTGAAACATCTCTCCAGCTTCTTAGAGGTTTTTGTTTTTTATCTCTTTTGCAACTTGATGAGTCTGAGGAAATACTCCTTAGAACTGAATAAAACTGTGAGATTTTCATAAAGATATACAAAAAACAAATGGCAAGAAAGCACCTTTCTTTTATCAGATCTCCTGCTAGCATCGTGTTCTAAGTATTCATCAACATACATAACTTGAAATATAAATACCCAAGTGATGTGGCAGGTTGCTGTAGTGCTGTGATAATAATAGAGGAATTAGGTCACAATGGTTTGTTCAAAGTTGTATTGGGAGGGCCAAATCTTCCGATTTATGGTTCTTGGGTATCCTGTCCTAATACTAATTTTAGAAGACATGACTGGTAGCTGTCACTGTTTTAGACAATGTAAGCCAATGCTATGGTATATTTCTGAATAAACTCACTGGGGAGCTGGGTGCTTGTTTACTGATATGGCAGTTGTGAACCTGGGTCCTTGATTGCCTGTGGATTTATATCCCTCTAGCAGGAAATCAAGGAGAACAATATTTCCTTTTTTTGGCTTAAGTGTCTTAAAAATCTTAAGAGCAGAAAATAGTTATTGCATTTGCAAAATTTGACGATTGGAAATTTGATTTTTGTTGTGATAAAAATATATAATGTAAAACTTCTTCATTTGTATTTTGAGATAGCATCTTGCTGAATTGCACAGGCTAGCCTTGAACACACTATCATAGTCTAGGCTTGCCTCAAACTTGTAATCTTCTTGCTTCAGAGCTCCTAAGTAGCTGGAATTAAAGGTGCTTCCAAACCACTTTTACATGTGTACATCATTGATATTATAATTATGTTCATAATATAGTCAGTCATTACCATTGTATGTTTCTTTTTTCCATTTTTCCCTCCCTTCCTCCCTTCCTCCCTTCCTCCTTCTGTCCCTTCCTTCCTTTCTTTGATATAGAATTTCTCTGTGTAGGCTTAGCTGTCCTAGAACTCATTCTGTAGACCAGGCTAGCCTTGAACCCAGAGATCCACCTGCTTCTGCCTCCCGAGTGCTGGGATTAAAGGCATGTGCCACCACCACCCAGCTACCACTAATGCGGTATATAAGGATCAGGATAAACAAATAGGCCGAATAGATGTTTATTCAGGGAGAAATAACTTACAACCTAGACAGATGAACACCACGAAATTCAACCCGATCCTCTCCTGTCCGAGTCACGCCAGAAAGAGAGCCTCTCCTGGCTCCCCTCCGACCTCCTTCCACAGGTCACTCTGCCAATGGCTCCACCCCCAATGGGCGTGGTCAGTGCCACAGAAGGACTATCTCACTACATACCACTATTAGTTTCTAAAGGTTTTCATCATGCAAACAGAAGCTCCATTACCACTAATTAGCTAATAATTCTCCATTCTGTATCCCCACTCCCTGGTGACCAATAAACATGACACATGGATTCATCTGTTCTGGATAGTGCACAATTAGAATTATATAATACTTGGTTTATTTATGCTTGACTCATTTCATTGAGCACAATGTTTTTAAAGCTTATTTGTGTTCTAGAATGTGTCAGGACTAAACTGTCTCCCTCTGTATGTGTATATTCACTACTTTTTAAAAAAAACCAAAAACCTCATTCCTCTGTACAGGCAGCTGGCTTCCTTCCCCTTCTTAGGTATTGGGGATGATGCTGAGGAGGACCCTGGAGAACATGTCTGTTTGGGACCCTACTTCTAATAACACTTGTGTAGAGTCCTCACAGTGGAATTGCTGGCTCACAGTGGTCATCTCGCGTTTCTGTTTTTGAGGAGGGAGACTTCCACAGTGGCTGCATCGTTTTCGTTTCTGCTAGCAGTCCGCCAGGGTTAACTTCTCCTCAGTAGCACCTGCTGCTGTTTTTTCCGTTTAAAATTTTATTTATTTTCCATTAAAAATTTAGAGCCATTCAAGCAGGTGTGAGGTGGTAGCTTGATTTACATTTTCCAGATAACCAGGGATGTTAAAGAGAAGAAGGTTCTCTCTCACTCCCTGGCTGATGCGGGGAATTGAACCCAGTGCTAGGCAAGCCCCCTACCACTGTAAAGTGTTTAGAGGGTCTGTTCTAGAGTGGGAGGAAAAATACATACTGTTAAGACACCTTGCTTTACAGCCCCGTTGACCAGACTTGGCATGCTGAATAGCTACCCGAGGGTTACCCTACCTGTGCGTTCTTTCAGATTCTTGTGTTGTTAGTTTACTCCTCTTGTCAGGCCATAACAACAACCTGCTCTGGGAAACATTTAAATATGATTTCCCGTCCTTTGTCTTCGGCCTCCCCTGCTGTGCTGGTTGGCATCTGCCTGTGTCCCTGTGCTGTGCATTCTCTAAGCCTCCTTCTGGCTCCCGCTGGGAGCTTTTGTTTCCTTCCTGAGGACTGTCTGTCTCCATCTTAACTGACTAGGCTGCGTCAACATACTGTATGTGTGTGTGAAGTGTGCATAGTCTTACCATTTGCCAAAACCTTTGGAAGAATATATTCAGCATATGGAAATCCTTCAAGAATTGAAATGAACGTTGTTACTACTTTTTGCTTCAAAAATGGGGAAACGATGAATTGTAATGTAAGACCCTCGGAATGAGGAGTCTCCCAGTTTTGGTTGGTACCCCAAGAACTCAATGGTCAGTCCAGTTGATGCAACACGCAAGAGGCTTTAATGAACAGGAAATGTTTGCGCAAACGGGCTCCCTCAGCACGCAGGCCAGAGAGAAGCACCATCCCCTGGGCACAGGTGTTTTTAAAGGCAAACCCACAAGCTTAGGGAGGGGTGAGACCCTCTGTCCGTTGAGTAGTGACCCTTTGAAACTGGATGGTCTCGCTATTAGGGTCAGCAGACCTTAGGGCCTCAGGGTGTGCTAATTAATCTTGTCTGGGCAAACCAGAGGTGCAGCTAAGGACCCTATTTGTTTCTTAAGGACCCTATTCACCACCTGCTGACTCACAAGAAAGGAGGGGCAGTGTGAATTCTTGGCGTCCTGTTATCTTAGGGCCTTGTGAGGGGAATTTAGCAAATTCCAAGGAACAGATATTGGTCTGTGTTAGCTTTCCAGGTCAGTCCGTCCTTCATTTCAAGTGGGGGGTTTCTTTAACTTTACTATTTTGTCTTTCGGTAATGGAATAATTTGGTAGCTCTGGAGAGAAACAGAATTGACTGAGGTTACTTCATTTTTACAGGCCTTTGCTCTGTGTTACTTTGACTATCTTTGTTCAGTGTACATTTTCTCTCTTGAATCAGTAGAACTGCTTTGTGTGCTAGCTTGACTGGTCTCTGTACATTCACAAACGCTTTGTTTTTCTCTAGGCCAATTTGAGAGATTATCTGTGGTGGATTTTCCTCTAGAGGAGGTAGCTTTCAAGATGAGCTATATTTTAAAATTATATATATATGTGTATATATATATATATATGTACACACACACACACACACACATATATATAGCAATCTATGTCTAATTTATAGCTATCAGCATTTATGCTACTCATCAGTAACCATAAGTCTTCAGGATTTATATTTTACATTTGAGATATGAGGAACCTCTTTTAAAAATAAATTTAGATTCAGCATGGGTGTAATTTAAGATGTTTTGTTTTAATAGATATCTCTTTATTTTGACAGCTTTTTGATACTCATACTAGTGACCTATTGACAGAGATCCATACAGGCCATCACAGCACCATCCAGTACTGTGACTTCTCCCCCTGTGACCATTTGGCAGTGGTCGCCCTGTCCCAGTACTGTGTAGAGGTGAGTAGTTGATTTTACTCAATGGAATGTGAGTCTCTAGAGATTCAAGGATGACAGGCTGCCTAAACCCTTAACTGTTGAGGATGCCTTCTTATAAAATGGTGTTTTCTTTGTAGCATATTTTTGGGACATTCAATTATATTTATGATTTCAATGTGATTGAAGACAAGGTTTTACAATGATGGAATGACAGGACCATTTACCAAGCATTTATTGGATAGCTAGTATATGATTGCTCGGGACTGGGGAAACATTGGTTTCCTAGGTTAAGATAGAGCATCTCTTTTAGTTTTACCCTGTGTGTGTTTGTGTGTGTGTGTGTGTGTGTGTGTGTGTGTGTGTGTGTGTTGTGCATGCATGTGAGTGTATATACCTGTTCAAGCATATACAGAGGCCTTAATCCCCTTTCTCTTTATTTCTTTAAGAAAGTATCTCTCATTGGCCGGTGGCTGGCTATGGAGCGTTGGGATTTGCCTGTCATCACCCTTAAATGTTGGGTTGAAAGGCACACACAGCTGTGTTTGACTTTTTATGTGGTTTGGGAATTTGAACCTGGGTCCTCATGCTTGCACAGAAAATGCTCTTACCCACTGAGCCTTCCTACTGGTTCCTCAGTGTTTTAAAATCAGCATATAAAGTAGTAACATGTATTATATAAAATAAGAGGGCTTGTTAATTTTCACACATGCATATTGTATACTTTGATCACATGCAATTTTTGTTTTTTTTTTTTTTTGTTTTTGTTTTTGTTTTTGTTTTTGTTTTTTGAGACAGGGTTTCTCTGTAGGTTTGGAGACTGTCCTGGAACTTTCTTTGAAGACCAGGCTGCCTCTGCTTCCCGAGTGCTGAAATCAAAGGCATGTGCCACCACTGCCCAGCTTATCAACATGCATTTCTTAAATAGTATAGACATGTGGTATCTTGTATGCAGTATAAACACAGATTGTATTCTTGTATGTCTGTTTGGTATATGTGTGAGTGGCATATTGTAAGACCCTCAGAATGAGGAGTCTCCCAGTTTCTGTCGGCACCCCCAAGAACTCAATGGCCACTCCAGTTGATGCAACACGCAAGAGGCTTTAATGAACAGGAATTGTTTGCGCAAACAGGTTCCCTCAGCAAGCAGGCTAGAGAGAAGCATCATCCCCTGGGCATAGGTGTTTTTAAAGGCAAACCCACAAGCTTAGGGAGGGGTGAGACCCTCTGTCCATTAAGTAAGTGACCCTTTGAGACTGGATGGTCTCACTGTTAGGGTCAGCAGACCTTAGGGCCTCGGGGTGTGCTAATTAATCTTGTCTGAGCAAACTGGAGTTTTGCTTTTTGTTTCTTAAGGACCCTATTCACCACCTGCTGACTCACTGCAAGGAGGGGCAGTGTGAATTCTTAGTATCCTACTATCTCAGGGCTGGTGGTTAGCAAATTCCAGGAGCTAAGTCACAGTGGCCTTGGTCAGCTTTCTGGGTCAGATTGCCCTTCATTTCAATTATTTGGGCTCCATGTCATTTCTTTGCTAGTTTAAGTCTTTCAATATGTATGTGACAGGGTGCACATGCAGAGACCACAGAATGTCAACCACTTCCTTATTGCCCTGAGGCAGTCTTTCACTGAACAAACACTCACTGTTTTGACAAGGCTAGCTGGTCAGGGAGCTCTCTAGACATGCCTGTGTTTACCCCTTAGTGTTGGGTTATACACATTTGTCTGGCTTTTTGCCTGGGTGCCAGGATTTCAAACTCAGGGTCTCATGCCTACAGAGCAAACATTCTTACCCACTGAGCTGTCTCCCCAGCCCCCGATGCTATTCTTTTTAAAATAAATGAGTTAGTTCAGATTTTTAGATAATTTGAGCAGGGTAAGATTGAAGTCATAATCTGATTGGTTAAGATAGCATTGTCATTGCCAAGCACAAATACAGTAATTCTTACCGATTTTGTGTTTATGTTTACAATTTTGTACTTCCTGGTGGGTTTTGTAGTTGGCCTTCTCTACCTCTTCTAAGATCTTTACCTCTGCCATTCTTAGAAAGCTCCAGGAGACAATGGATGTCCTAGGGCTCTGCTGTGGAAGCTGCAAGTGACAAATTTTAGGGAAAACGAAGTAAAGAAAGGAAGGAGGGGTGTCTAGAGCGTTCAGTTGTGGGATTGCCTTGATTTCTGTCCTTCACTGCTGCATTCCCAGTTTGGACTCTAGAGATAAAGCAGGCTTTTCCTGTAATCGTTTGTAACTGGGACTCAGCAAGTGAAAACCATTGTGTATGTGATGAAGTGCTTGTTTTGCCCATGCTAACCCTGAAATCATAAGTAGCTCTGTAATTCAGAGTGTAATGAGGGGAACTCAGGCACTTATGGTACTTCATTAGACTAGAATATATTTGAGGAAAGTATAGCAGAACCCAGGACAAAATGCAGCCAGGATGGTGGCAGACAATTGTTAATAAGCATGGATCAAAAGAGAAATGTGTCCATGCTACAATTCGTGTGCTCATTTATTGTAGGGTTTTGCAGCCAGTTGAAATGAAGGTTGAATGACAGTATTAGTTATTATTATTTTCAGAGAAATCTCACTATCATCATTATCCCTTTTCCCTCATTTTCCATCTAATAGGCAGCATCTCTTTTGCATATCTAAACAGATTTCTGAATGTGCATGTACATATCTATATTCATCTATATGCTTTTTTTTTTTTTTTAAAGACAGGATCTCATGTAGTTTAGGCTGGCCTCAAATTCACTATGTAGCCAAGGATGACCCTGAGCGTCTGGTGTTTCTGCCAGCATGTTGGCTATTGGGGACTGAACCTAAGGCTTTTATGCATACTAGGTAAACACTTTACCAACCAAACCACATCACCAGTTATTCTTTGAGCACTTTGTACATCTAATTCTTAAATAAAAGGTAATATGTATTCTCCATTTTTTTCTGTTAACAGTATATCATAGAGCTTAATTATTGTAGTATTGTTCTCATTCCATTTTGCATAGTATTCTACTATGTGAGTAGTTACAATATATTCAGTTAGTTTCTATGTTGCTTTTAAGGTGTTTATGATGTTTTGTGTGAGAGTGTGTGTAGGAGTGTGCGCATGTGCGTGTGTTGTGGGGTGAACCCAGGGCCTGTGTCCACTAAATGTGAGATGTATCTACTGACCTATGCCCACATGGCAATTTTTGTTATTTCTGTTATTTACTATTTAAAAATGTAATTGTATCATAGTCACGCATAAACCAGTTTTAAATTCTGATAATGTGCTTTGGGGCTTTATTTGTAGGAATAGTATTGCTGAGTCATTCTTACTTATTTTTAGTATTCTTGTTTGTTTTGGTATTCTTGGTATCTTAAACTTCCTGTGTTTTGTTTATTCTGTAGTTGTGGAATATAGATTCACACTTAAAGGTAGCTGATTGCAGAGGACATTTAAGCTGGGTTCATGGTGTGGTGTTTTCTCCCGATGGTTCATCATTTTTGACAGCGTCTGATGACCAAACAATACGGGTGAGTAATACTGAGATTCTAAACACTTACTTGTTTTTTTGTTTTTGTTTTTCAAGGCGGGGTTTCTCTGAGTAGCCCTAGCTATTCTGAAATGCATTCAACAGACCAGATCCACCTGTCTCTGTCTCCTGAGTGCTGGGATTAATTGTGCGCATCACCGCCAAGCTCTTTTTAAACATTTAAACTAAATTTGTAGAGGAATAAATTGTTGGGGAGTAAGGGAGGTAAATTAAGAAGTTACTAGGTACTTATTTATCCTAGATAAGTAAGTGCTTGTTACATAGATTCTATTGGTCTCATTTATTCAGACATATCATGGAATATTACTGTGGGTCCAGCACTGGGCAAAGCCCAGTGAGTAAACTGTTTACACATGCTACATACGATTGCTGGGAAGACTTTTGACTTTTTCCTCTTTAGTTCTCATATTTAATTCCATGATAATTCTCATCGTGCATATATTTTTACCTTTTAACTTAATTGCTATTTATCTGTTCATTCCTCTGCGCAGATCCTTATCATCTGTTGTCTCTCTGGTACTAGGCTCTGCCATGCTTTCTTACTTTATTATATCAAATGTCTGAGGCATTTTCCTTATATACATTTCTGGTTATATCAGTTTTGCTCAAAAACAGATAATGGCTCTTGTTTATCTAAGTAAACTGATACTTCTAAGTCCCGTTCAGCTCCTCCACAGTATGGTCTCGTTTGGCCTCCGTCATCCTTCAGTTTTTTCCTATGGGTAGCATTTCCCAAATGCCTGTTTCTTTGCCTCTCCTTAGATAGCCTCTTATGCATGGAACACCTTACTTTTCTGGCTCTCTGCTTGCTGAAATCTTTGCCATCCTAAGGTCTGCGCAGCCTCTGTGTTTGGGGGATTACCTATCTCCTTTAAGGCTATACAAGTCTGTGGCTTTTTTTATTGATGCCCATCAAATTCTGACTTAAAGTATAGCTTTGATTTATTCTATATTTCTAGTGTCCCATTGCCCCCTGATTTATTTATATATTTTAGACTTACATCTAGCTGTTTGAGTCCAGTAATCCTAGTTGGTGCTGGTAACATCTGATACAGTGTTTTATGCAAATCATATCTAAAATTTATTTAATGATACTGTGTGTCAGACACTGTGCAGAGTACTGTATCAGTACTGATTTACTAATTCTCTTACTAGGAAAAGAGCTTGAAATGTTAGGTTGAGGAACAGCCTAGAGAGGCCTGTGCTACTACTGAGTGCTATCTTCCTAGACTTGAGCTAGAATATAAGTTCACTCAGGGCTTCTTTCTGTAAAAAGAAAGAAAACTAAGAAAGCATAGACTGTTTAGCCATCTAGTCATCGCATTCTGCTGTAAGCTCTGTGTCTTAATGTAGATGGGTGTGAAACAGTCCTTACCTCCAAGGAGCCCTGGGGTGACCTCACTAATGTCACAGTTTCTTGTTAAAGTAGAACTCCCAGAGAAATTTTGACTGCAGAGCCCACAACTCATATAATAGTAACTATCTTACTTTAGGATGTGTTAATAAATACTTATTGGTTTATAGCCTAATAGGTGAGTTTTCTTACATCCTAGGCATTTTAGTTGATCTTGCTATAAGACTAAGAGTCATCTTTACAGTATCTTACAGGGAGGACTGATAGCATACAGTGATTCATTTCCTTTACCTCTTACTCAGGTCTGGGAGACCAAGAAGGTTTGCAAGAACTCTGCGGTAGTCTTAAAGCAGGAAATAGACGTTGTGTTTCAAGAAAACGAAGCGAAGGTCCTTGCAGTTGACAACATCAGAGGCCTACAAGTGAGTGATTTTAGGAAACGTTGGGAGCACTGTTTTGGTTGAACTCACCCTGTTTTCCTATTGCTTTTTGGTACAGAATCAGGCATAATTGTATGGTTCTAACAGGTGCCTGCTAGGCATTAGCTGAATAAATAAACAGCTCCTGAGTTGAGGTTCCGATATGCCAGCATGAATTAAACTAGATGCTAATTTTTAAAATAACTTCCTTTTGTTTAACCTTCTTTATCTCTTGCTGTCTGTGATCACTCCCCTCGATTTGCACAGTCTTGAGAACACCACAAAGACAAACTTGAACTTGTTCGCTGTAGTGATTTGGATGGGACTGATAGGGTGAGCACGGGGTGAACTGAAGCATTTTTTTTTTCAAGGGAAGGAAAAGCACAAAAATCTTAAGTGGGGGGGCGCCCGTCATCAGAGCTGGGGTGGGGGGAGCTGGACTTCACATGTGAAGCGTTGCTGCTCATTAATCCACTTGTGCAGTCACTTTTGAATAGTCAGTAGTCATGGAGATGGAGAGGATCGCGTTGGTGATATTGGAATAACTGTATTGCTAGGGATCCAAACAGCGTACTGTAGGCTGATCTCCCTGTGGTCACAAACACCAGTCCCAGGGGCCAGTGACAGGAATGGCATTTACGAGCCTCTGAGCGGCTGTGACAAGGCTAGCAGGTGATCTAAGGAATGTTGTCATCCAGAGGTCAGCGGCCTCAGTGGGGGGGGGGGGGAAGTGCAGTGCAGCTCTCACCACCTTGGCAGAGACCCCTGGGAGTGAGGTGGGCATTGCATGTGTCCGCACCACCCTCTCAGTGTGCTGGCCCATGTTCTGTATTTATGGGGTGAACATGGATAGGAACTCAGGTGAATTCCTTACTTACCTTTTTTTTCTTTTTTTTTTAATGGCCTGAGGCTTTTGCTTGGGATATTCTACTGTAGTTCTTTCCAGTTCATTGTTCCCATGCTTGTATTTTTAAAAATCAAATTTATGCAATCTTTCAGTAGCAGTTGTCATAACCAAAGGATGATGAGGTTGCCTGACTATAAAAATGTTATCTTGCTATATGTCATAATCTGCAAGAGTTTAAAGGACAGTTTAACTGACAAATAGTAGTTTCATTAAAGTAAATGCCAAATTTTTAAATTATCAATTAAAAGTGTTGAACTTGATTTTTGTGGAGGAAGATGCTTAATTTTCAGTAGTTCAGTCTTTTAAGAAAATACTGCTTGACAGTTTTATACATGTGTATAATACATTGTGATGTACTCCCCCCACCCTCTTTTGTTCCCTTCCCATCCCATTGAACGCCCGTGTGTGTGTGTGTGTGTGTGTGTGTGTGTGTGTGTGTGTGTGTGCGCGCGCGCACGCGCGCGCACATCCTACTGAGTTAAAACTGCTTTCATGGACAGGATTCAGGGTTAGTTACTGGAGCATGGCAGTCAGTTGAGTGATGACTCCCCCCGCCCCTTGGTCATCCTTCACGGAGGGGTTGTACCTTCCAAGGCCCCCACCCACTAATAATGGATTTGTTAAAGGGCCTAATCTCATGTAGATATTATGGAGGTGACCATAGTTACTGTAATTTCATGCATGCAATGTCATGTCATATCTAGGAGACAGCATTTCACAACGCACTTCTCTGTTACCTGGTTTTTACATTCTTTTAGTTCTTCTGTGATGTTCTTTGAGCCTTAGAAGGGGTTATATAGATGTCCTACTTAGGCCTAACACTGGACAGTCACTTAATTCTCAGCACTGTTACTAGTTGTGCATTAACTGCTTCCTCTTGCAAAAAAGACTCTTTGACCAAGGCTGAAAGCAGCGTTAATTAGTCTATGGGCATAAAATTAGATATTCAGACTATCTAGAAAACAGCTGGACAACAGATCTGTTCATCAGAATTACAGTAATAGGTTTCCTGCCAATAAGGTATTCAGTTCTAGCCTGGGACCTCCTTAGCTATGGGGCAAGCCACAAGTCCAGTCAAAAAGAGGTTGGTTAACCCCGGAACAGTCATGCCATTGTTGCACAGTCCACGTTACAGGTCTGTACTGAAGCATGAAGTGATCCCAGCTGGGTGGCTTTCCTTCCTCAGCAGCCTGCAGTAATTTAGTCTTGATTAATTTAGTATCTAATAGGTCAGAGAATTTTGGGCAAACTGTTGCAAAGGAAAAGCTACATTTATTAATTAATCCTATAGTCAGTATAGCTGACTACACTGAGAAATAATTCAGATTTTTGGCTCATAACACTAAAATAGACAGGTATTTGATACTCAGTTGAAGCTTGAGAAGTATTTCCTGAGGTCTTATCTTTTAATTGAGGAGCTAAGGTACTTTACATTTTTTTTTTTTTGATTAAAAAAATTCTTAGCATTAGGTAGAGGTTATAAAATTGGATAATCTTAGTTTAAATATTGCATGTCCAGTGACACAAATTGTGCTTTCCAGTTTCTTCTGTAAGATCTATTTTCACACTCCTAAAGAAGGGAAGAATCTTAATTTACCCTGATTTGTGAGTGACTCTGAGTATATAAAATTCAATTTTGACTTATCATTGTGTAATGTCTGTCTCAGCCCTGTTTCACAGCCCCTTTGAAGATTTCAGAGAAGGGTATTATAACAAATGATAACCCTATTAAAAATAGGCTTTGTGAGGAAATAAAAGACAGGATGTGGGCTAGCTGTGAGACTGCTTATCAGACAGATGTGTCTCAGGTGGTGGGCACAGCAGCTGCTTTTCAAACCCTTTTAAAGCTTGTTTTATTTTATGAAAATGTGTTTGAGACACATAAGTGAAACAAGATGAAAGCATCAAATGCTAAATACAGCTTCTGAGTTTGGGATCAGTCTCCATTGTTTCCCTGAGAACTCTTGGTTATTTTCCATGCTTTCTTTCATTTTTCAATTGAAGTCTCTCTTCTGAAGAATAGCAACAGAAAAAATGCACACACAAGCTAATTACTGACTGTGCTGTCTCTTCCATTAGCTCATTGCTGGGAAAACAGGCCAGATTGATTACCTGCCTGGAGCTCAAGTGAGTTGCTGCTGCTTAAGTCCACATCTTGAGTATGTGGCGTTTGGAGATGAAGATGGAGCCATTAAGGTATTCAGTTCTAGTCTTCAGAGCTGTGACTAGACTGGCATTGCACACCTGTATATCAAACAGATCTTTCTGGTAGTCCTTATTCCACACTCTGAACATCTTAACCTTCCTCACATGACCTTTACCATTGCTTCTCAAGCTTTCTGTGTTTCTTGTTCCCTGTCTAGTTGTTTTGCTGTTTTAAAAATGTTAAAAGAACTAAACAGGTTTGACCAATTATACAAACAACATTTCCCCATGTTAGAAATAGCCATGGGGTGATGTCATTTCCAGATTCTTGACGATGTCAGTACAGGGCCCTCTGTGCCCACTGTCCATCTCCATTTCTGCATTTAATGTTAACTGCATACCTCTTCACCACCAGAAACCCAGAACTTACTCAGCAAGACCAGGTAGATAAGGAGTAGATACTGACACAGATAGGGCATTCTAATGAGGGTCACTCTGTGCAAAACACCCTCACCTTCATCCCACGCACAGCTCATCACAGAAGCACTTAGTTATCTAGTTGCATAACTTCTAGAGAACACCGATCTTTCTCACTGTCCCTCACCTAGGCTTTTGGGGATCGTTCCCTAATGTAATGAGACTGTGGCATCAGCCACATTTATTTTACCTTAAGAGATTACACAAATGTTCTCCAGGTCAAATTACCAGACACGAGGAGACTAAGGGCTTGAACACTCAGAGAAGAGGAAGTGATGTCAGATTGCTGGGTCTCCCTCAGCAGCTACAGTGGTACAAGGCTGTCTTCTGACCTCCACAGGCATCCGGCACACATGTGGTACACTTACATGCATGTAGGCAAACACTCATACTTGTAAAACAAGAGCAAACCTTTCAAAACTTTAAAAATCCATCATCTTTTTGTGCATTCTTAACTTCCTTACAATCCTCACATCATATAAATAATGAAGGTGAAAATGCCAGCATCTGGCTATTCAGTTGATTCCTAATGTTTAAAATGGCAATTGCAAGTGGTCCTGCCCAGCAGCTGTTTACCATTACTCATGTTCTCAGATGGCCAACATGGATGTGGGATACTGTGACTCCTGTTTTATAGGGGTCTGACCTCCTAATTCCCCAGCTTTCCTAAGTGCAGAGCCTAGTGTTCTCGCGTGAGTCCTGAATGACCTGCTCAGCAGCTGCCCTGCTTCCCCTGTGGGGACACTGTCCACTCTTTTGGGAAGGCCCCAATCACACAGTTCCTCTTCCCTTTTTGAGGGCTCACCCCCCCCCCCCAACATATAGGTTAGATTCCTAGGATCTTGTGTTACAGCATCATCTAATACATCATTTTAACTTAGACGAGTAAAGATGCACACATGCCCACACACATTCATATGAGGTCATTTTTGGTGTGGTCACCATGTTTTGAGCTTGTGTTACGTTTTTTATGTGTGTGTTTGCAGGCCACGGTATGGTGTGGGGATCAGAGGCTAGCCTTGTGGGGGCTTCCACTCTTTCCTCCCACCATGTGGTTCAGGCAGGGGTCAGACTCAGGTCCTCACGCTCCTGCAGTGAGCGTCTTGTGCACTGGTCCATCTCCCCAGCCCCGTTTCTGCTCTCAAATCTCTGCATTGGGCCGTTTAAAGGCTTGTTATCACCGCACTGTTCTCCAGCCTCTCTACACCCGTCTCCCTCGTCACCCTTTATCCCCCTCATCTCTAGTTTTTGACAAAGAGCGTGTCTTGTATCATCTGCGATTTTTATCCTTCCTTCTTTCTCATTCATCATAAAGTACCATTTTTAATTTGGAGGCTGAGCCCAGACTGTTAACTTGGTTGATGACTCAGGAAGTTGAGCAATCAGACGAACCATTGGTTCCTACCGTCATTTGGCCATTCTAGTGCATGCCTGATTGGGGCGGGGGCGGGGGCGCATGTGTGCATGGTGGGGATATAAGTATTGCCTAATTTCTTTGTATTAAGTTTTTGTGGTTTTCTGTTTTGAAGATTATAAAACTCCCAAACAACAGAGTTTCCAGCTCTAGGATTGGACACAAGGCAGTTGTGCGGCACATACAGTTCACAGCTGACGGGAAGACACTCATTTCAAGTTCTGAAGATTCCCTAATTCAGGTGAGGGGTGAATGAGCTAACGTTTGTACTGTTAGAGAGAGGAACAAAAAGCACTCTGCTGAGGCTCTGTCACTTAAACGTGCTATTTTGGGTGTTCATTCCCACTGTGCACATGGGGTTTATAGAGTCCATTCATGTTTCGTGTTTTTTTGCTGAGTGTAGCGTTGTGGCAGTTCACTGAGAAGCTTGTTTATTTTGAGTTAAGTATTCATTTGACTCCTTCCTATCTTAATATTCATAGTTGTATGTGTAAATACATTTTTGCTACTTTTACATAATTTCTTTAGTTTTCAAGACTGCATTCTGACTTAAATTTTGTTTTGTTTTTGTTTTGTTTTTGGAGAAGGGTTTCTCTGTGGCTTTGGAGGCTGTCCTGGAACTAGTTCAGCCAGTTCCGCCTGCCTCTGCCTCCTGAGTGCTGGGACTTAAAGGCATGCCCCACCAAAGGCCGGTTTTTTTTTTTTTTTTTTTTTTTTTTAAAGATTTGATTATTATATATACAATGTTCTGTCTGCAGGCCTGAAGAGGGCACCAGATCTCATTATAGATGGTTGTGAGCCACCATGTCATTGCTGGGTATTGAACTCAGGAAGAATAGTCAGTGCACTTAACCTCTGAGCCATCTCTCCAGTCCAAGCTTTTGTTGTTTTGTTTGTTCATTCTTCTTTTCCTGAGACAAGGTCTCGCTCTGTAGACCAGACGGCCTGGAACTTGCTTTGTGCAGACCAGGGTGTCTTTGAACTTTTGACAATCATCCTGCCTCTGCCATGTGGGTGCTGGGAACGCATGATCTTCCTAAAAATAATATTTACTGTAGTTTGCCATAATTTTATATATTGAGACTTTGAGCTTACTCTGTTCTTTTAAACTTCACCTTTTATTAAGTTCTAGTACACATTCATCAAAACTGCTGTGGTCTTACAAGACTTTCTATGGAGGTTAGGCCTCCCATTTCTTATTCTTCACAACGGCCCGTGGTGGCTCTCAGATACCCAGATATTTTTAGATCTTTGCGATCCAGTCTTTGGATGTTCACCTTCATGCCTCCGTATGGCATGCTGGCAGTGCTAGTTTTAACTTCCCGCTTGGGGAATTGATGGCTTCCCAGTGGTGAGGGTTTAGCGCTTGCTCTCCTCCCCCCTCTCCTGTCGTCAACACATGTGCACGCATATGGGCACCCAGAGCCGCTTATGAGACCGTTTGCCAGGCCGTTCATCAGTCACAACAGTTTTGACAAAATTGTGCTTAGAGCCTAAGCATCACATCACTGTGGCCAAGGAGACTGTTGCTAAAGGCTATTAGGGGTGCAACCCCTGTCTTTTAATTAATTAATTTTTATTTATTTGTTTATTGATTTTAGTTTTTTGAGACAGGGTTTCTCTGTGTGGCTTTGGAGCCTGTCCTGGAACTCACTTTTTAGACCAGGCTGGACTCAAACTCACAGAGATCCACCTCCTCCCGAGTGCTGGGATTAAAGGCACCACTGCCCGGCTTCCTCGGCTTTAAAATAGGCTCTGCTTGTGTAGCCAGGTTGTTCTGGAACTCCCCATGGAGCATAGGCTTATTGGTTTTGAACTCAATATCCTCTTGCCTCAACTTCTTGAATGTCAGGATTATAGGCATACACCTCATGGTTGCAATTCCTGTCATAACACAGTTTGGGAAAACTTAGTCTTTGATTAATATGTCTGGAAAACTTTAAATATATTACTTCATTTCTTCACTGAGTTCCAAAATTTATATTGAGAAATCTAAAGTCATTCTGATTTTATTGTTACTGAGACTGGATCTCATTATGTAGCTCTGCCTGGCCCAGAACTTACTGTGTAGACCAGGCTGGCCTTGAATTCACCTGCCTCTGCCTCCCAGTGCTGGGATTAAAGGCATGCACCACCATTCTAGGTTTTAAATCTTTTGGGAAGATTTTAAAATCTTGTGGCCTTAGAATTTTGAAATTTCATGATGTACCTTCCATTATTATGCTCATTTTGGTAGTTTCTTTCAAGGAAACTTATTCTTAGATTCAAACTTTACTTGAATTATTTCTTCATTTCCCTTTTCCCTTTCTGGTCCAATCTGATTCTCCTTTTGTAAAACCCATTATTCATATATTGGTTCCTGGGCCAGTCCTCTCGTCCTTGGTTTTTTTTTTTTTTTTTTTTTTTTTTTTGTCTTATTGTTTAAGGCAGGGTCTTTTAGAGCCCAGGCTGGATTCACGTAGCTGAGGATGACCTTTCTGGGTTTTCTGCCTCTGTTTCCTGGGGTTAAACATATGCCACAACACTTGGAGTCAACCCCACCCCCCTAAAATTTTTACACTGTGTTCTATATTCTGGAATTTTTTCAGTTTTTACGTTTTTAATGCTCAAGAATTCCTCTTTAAATTTTTGTTTATTTATTTATTTTTTAGATAGGGCTCACTAGGCAACTCAGGCTCACTTCAGTCTTGTTATGTAGCCTAGGTGGGCCTTGACTACAGGAAGGCCCTCCTGCCTCTGCCTTTGAGTGCTGGGATTAAGGGTGTGCACCATCGATCCCCATTCTAGCAAGGGTTCTACTTTTGGGTCACACCCCTAGTTTTATTTGGTATACATTTCTTGTGGTGGCAACATTTAACTATGCCATTAAAAACTATTATTTTTTTTTTTAAAACCAATATCACTATGTTGTGTCTTTGTGAAGGTGTAGAATTGGAATGGAATTTGGCTTCAATACAGAAACTTAATTATAAGCTCCTGTGATGCTTCTTTATTAGCTGTGAAACTCATATAATAGTCATATTTTCTCCTCTCCAGATGTCTTTGAAATGGGGGAAATTTAACTACATCAGATAAATCCTGTTGGGACGTTGTATGCGGTGTGAACTTAAATTCATAAGGTTTTATGACCTGTTTGTAGATACTCTCAGCCAGAGAAGAGATAATTTTTAGAATAAATTATTTTTAAAAATAGGTGTTGTATTTCATCTTGTTTTTCTGTACTGCTCAGCATGGGTTTTACAGATACATATACAGGGCTTTTAAAAGATGTTGTTTTATGTGGGTGCTCACACACATGCTTGTATGGAGTCATGTGAACTGATGTATAGGTCAGAGTACAATGTACAGGGTTCCAGGGTTACAATTCAGGTTGTAAGGCTTACTTAAAAATATGGGCTACTGCTGGGTGTGGTGCTACACACCTTTACTCCAAGCACTGGGGAAGCAGAGGCAGGGGATCTCAGGCAGCTCAAGGCCAGCCTGGTCAACAAGGTGAGTTTTAAGACAGCTGGGACTACATAGAGAGACCTTCTCTTTAAAAAAATAAAATATGGACTGCTTCATGAATTTGTCATTTTTGCACAGGGTCCATGCTAATCTATGTGTAGTTCCAATTTTAATATGTGTGCTGCCAAAGCAAGCATCATTTATAAGGTTTTAGTTCTTCCTATAATGAAACTCTTGGTAAGAACTTCTAAGAAATGATGGATTGAGGTTTTTGATTGTGTGTGTGTGTGTGTGTGTGTGTGTGTGTGTGTGTGTGTGTGGTGATCTTTTAAGTCTGGGTCTCATGTAGCTCAGGTTGATCTTGAACTCACCACGGAACCAAGGCTGATTTTGAACTCCTGATTCCCTGCTTCTTTTGTCCAAGTGCTGGGAATATAGGTGTGCTGCCATACCTGGCTTTGTTTAATTTTTAGTAAATGACTGATTGGAGTTTTGTATGTATCTCCAGCTTACAGGTTTAGGGAATCTCTGAAGTTTAAGTCATTGCTAGAATTAGGAAAATAAACCCACCTGATGATAGCACTTATAGTTCCTTGTGGGAACTGAGTCCTGTTTTGGTAGCTTTTGGCTCTACCTTGAGGTAAATGAAAAGCATGTATTAGTATGCTTACTGGATACATAAACATACATTGGTTCTTACAGGTATAAGGAATCTGCTGTTGTTTTTGTGTTTTTCTGTTGGCTTCAAACTCATGGTCCTTCTTCCTCAGCCTCTCCTGCGCATGCCCAGCCAGCTTTTTTTTTTTTTTTTTTTAATTGAAGTTTATTTAAGTAGTTGAAAAAATTCTGTAGTGTGTATAGTCACAAAAATTATTGCTAACGGTAGGCATCCCCAAATTCAACTTCAATGCAGTTGATTAATGCTAGTAGAACTTTATTATACCAAGATGATCCAGTTATTGCAGTATGATTGAGTCCAATGAAAAGCTCTGCTGCCATTGCCTGTCAGAAAGTGTCTTTGAGACAGCTACTAAGCTCCTGTCAGAGGCTCTTTGTAGCACATGTTCAGGAAGGCTCTCTGATTTCCTGAGGTAGAGAGCAGCAGGAAGGACCTCAGTCAGGCTGAGCTTTGCATTAGGCACAGCCCAGACTGTGAAGAGCAGCCATTGGTCCCCAAGTCTGCTCAGGCCCAGAAAGAAAGGAGGACACCAGGACATTCCTAGTGGAGATGGCTTAGGGTCTGCCTGTCACACAGGGGCCATGACCTTTTGGTATGATTTGGGGAGCCAGAAAAGCCCTTGTTACTTCTCCTTACCACAGCCCCCCGCTGTCTATCATTGAGTTCATCATGCTCCATTAGAACATTTCATTTCCGGTTCCTCTTCTGCAGGAACTTGCCTGCACACAGCAGATCCCAGTCCTGGTGACCCTGCTTCTTTGAATGATTGTCCCCAGCTAGAAGGCAGGAAGGGATCCAGAAGCCAAGGTCTGCTGTTGTGGCAGAACCTACAGAAAGAGGAATAAGATTTGGCATTGTCTTTCTGGGTCTGGGTTACCTCGCTCAGGATGATTTTTTCTAGTTCCATGCATTTGCCTGCAAATTTCAAGATGTCATTTTTTTTTTTTTAAACCGCTGAATAGTACTCCATTGTATAAATATACCACATTTTCTTTATCCATTCTTTGGTTGAGGGGAATCTAGGTTGCTTCCATGTTTTGGCTATTATGAATATTGAACTTAGTTGATCAAATGTCCTTGTTGTATGAGTGTGTATCCTTTGGGTATATGCCTTAATACGGTATGTACTCACTCATAAGTGGGTATTAGACATAAAACAAAGGATAACCAGCCTACATTCTACAACCCAGAGAAGCTAGGTAACAAGGAGAACCCTAAGAGAGACATACTTGGATCCCCAAAACCTGGTACTAGGGAAATTCCCAGGAATCCCCAAGGATGACCCCAGCTAGGACTCTAAGCAATAGTGGAGAGGCCGGCTTTCCCCTGTAATCAGATTAATGACTACCCTAACTGTCTTCATAGACCCTTCATCCAGTAACTGATGGAGGCAGATGCAGAGATCCACAGATAAGTCCTGAGCTGAGCTCCTGGAGTTCAGTCCAAGAGAGGGAGGAGCCATAGTATGAGCAAAGGGGTCAAGACCATGATGGGGAAACCCACAGAAACAGCTGACCCAAGCCAGTGGGTCACTGACACTGTACTGACAGAGTCTGAAGTAGGCCCTCTGAGTGTGGGTGACAGTTGTGTGGCTTGAGCAGTGGTACCAGGATATATCCCTAGTGCATGAACTGCTTTTTTGGAGCCCATTTCCTATGGTGGGATGCCTTGTTCAGCCTTGATGCATGTGGTAGAAGCTTGGTCCTGCCCCAACTCAATGTGCCAGGCCTTGTTGACTCCTCAGGGGAAGATGGGAGGAGGGGAGGGAGGGGAAACTGGGATTGGTTTGTAAAGTAAAAAAAAATTATTAACCAAAAAAAAAAAAAAAAAAAAAAAAAAAAGGATTTGTCATTGCTTTTATAGCTTTGCCCGGGCCTGCTAGGGAAGGCCTTGAAGTTATCAGGCACTTAGACAGTGGCTCAGAGTATTCATAGCGCACCTCCCGGTGGTGCTGCTGGCCTCCTCTGAGGCTTCATGTTCTTTAGCAAGCCACCCGATACCTAGGGACTGTTCCTTTCAATACTTTGTTTCTTTTTAATTTTTTCTCTCACCTAATGCATCCCGACCACAGTCTCCCCCCCCCCCTCCTTCCCACCCCACAGCATCCCCTCTCCTGCACATCCACTCCTTCACTTCTTCAGAAAGGGGCAGGCCTCCCAGGGCAGCAACCCAACATGGTATGACGAGATGAGAGAAGACTAGGGACAAACCGCATCGAGGCCGGACGAGGCAGCCCTGGAGGAGGCAAATGAGTCAGAGACACCCTCTCTCCCTCCCAGGCCAAACCACCACAGCACGTGTGCAGAGGGCCTGGCGCAGACCCACACAGGCTGTGAGCTCCTATGAACCCTGCTTAGTCGATTCTGTGGGTCTTTCAGTACTTTTCCCAACATGAAAACAAATTATTCAGTCACTGCATTTGAAAAGTTCTCAGGTTGTGATTATTTCTTTCTTTGTTTTTGAAAAAAAAAAAAAAAAAACCCAAACATTTTTATTTTCTGTGCATTGGTGTTTTGCCTGCATGGGCATCTGTGTGAGAGTGTTGAATCCCCTGGAAGTGAAGTTATAGACAGTTGCGAGCTGTTATGTGGGTGCTGGGAATTGAACCCAGGTCCTCAGTTAGTCAGTCCAGCCCCTGCTTTGAACTTTAAAAGGAGTTATTGTATGAATGCCTGCTTATGTGTGTGTTATGTGTGTGCTGGGTGCCCGGAATCAGAAGAGGGTATTGGGTCTCCTGGAACTGGAGCTCCCGGTGGGTGCTGGGAATGGGATCTTAGGTCTTGGGAAGAGCAGCCAGCTTTCTCTCCAGCCTCACCTCCTCTCACACACTCTGAGCGCTGGCCTCTGCCAAATCACCTTGAAGGAATCATTGTTTTGATATTCACAATGCTTTTACTTCAGTAGTTAAGATTATTATTATTTTTTTTTCTATGTCTCATATCCTAGATTTTTCTCATGGTAGGTCCTTGTTGGATTCACGTTGGCCTTACTTAGAAACACGTTTGTTAAATCAACTGAAGTCAAGAATTTAAAAGCCACTAAACACCGCTGCTTTGACTTAGTAATGGATGCTCTGCATATTGACGCGGCACAGATATTCCCGCACGGCTGTGCCTCGGATATTCTTGTTTGCTCCTTTTGTCCCGGTTGCTGCTGGCACCAATTGCTTCACATCTTTCTCTCTTCCCTAAGCCGCCTGGGAAGTAATAGTGCCGGTCGCTGCTGCTTTTCCTCTGAGAGCTGCGTTAGCGCTGCCTAAGACTGTTGAAGCTTAGTACGGCCTGTGTTTACGCTTGTCTGGCTCCCTGGACCTCTTGGGCAGTAGGGTGAGCTTGCTGGAGCCCGAGTCTGTCCTCACCTGATGTGCAGGCTTGTACATCTGCAGAGATGTAATTGGGATAATTTTCTCTGGAAAATGTAATCAGATGGTGAGCTCACTGACATATTGTAGGGTTTTTTTTTTTTTTCTATTTTGTGGTTTAATTAACTACTCTCTAAGCAACTGAAGAAAACAAATTTTATTTAGTAGGAAAAGTGTTTTATTTTGCCCCCCATCAAGCTAATTAGTTTCAACTTTTTCTCTTTGTAAAGCACAGAGACAATGTTCTTTGTTGCTTCTCTGTTTGAAATACTGTGAAGATAAAAAGGCTTTAGATGGGAGAGTACATGCCTGTTTCCAGGGAGACGTTATTGGGGAAGGCCTATAACAGACTTCTTTCTTTGATATTCAGGTGTGGAATTGGCAGTCAGAAGACTACATCTTTCTGCGGGGCCATCAGGAAACAGTGAAGGACTTCAGGCTCCTAGAACATTCAAGATTGCTTTCCTGGTCGTTTGATGGAACAGTGAAGGTAATTTGAGTTCCAGATTCCTTAAGTGTATTTTTTTGTTTCTTAAATTATTTTGAAAATATTCTCTAAATGTATTTCATTTTACTGTGTGTATGGGTGTTTGGCTTGCATGTATGTCTGTATACCACATGCATGAAGAGAGCATCAGATTTTATAGAATTGGAGTTACATACAATACAAATACTTGTGAGTTGAGTGCAGAGAATTGAACCCATGTCCTCTTGAAGAGCAGTTAGGATCTTAACTACTGGGCCTTCTTTCCAGACCTGAGTACCAGATTTAAAAAGAATTGATGTGTGTGTGTGTGTGTGTGTGTGTGTGTGTGTGTGTGTGTGTGTGTGTGTGTATTATTGCGGTTAAATAAGGATCAGGATAAACAAATAGGCCGAATAGATGTTTATTCAGGGAGAAATAACTTACAACCTAGACAGATGAACACCAGCAAGTTCCACCGGATGCTCTCCTGTCCGAGTCCTGCCAGCAAGAGAGCTTTCCCCAGCTCTCCCTCAGACCTCCTTCCACAGGTCACTTCCACCCATGGCTCCACCCCCCAATGGGTGTGGTCAGTGCCACAGAAGGAGACAAAGTAAATATCCCACTACAATGTAGGTTTTTTTTTTTTTTTTTTTTTGGTTCAAGACAGGGCTTCTCTGTATTGCTTTCAGAGCCTGTCTTGGAACTCAATCAGTAGACCCAGGCTGGCTTCGAACTCAGAGACCTGCCTGCCTCTGCCTCTGGAGTGCTGGAATTAAACCCATGTGCCAACAAACGCCAGGCTGGCCTTGAACTCACAGAGATCCACCTGCCTCCTGTGCGTCTGGGACCAAAGACTTGTGCACCACCATACCCAGTCCCAGATTGTTTTTTTTTAAAGAAAACATTCTGATGTTGCAGTAATTATATTGTGACAGCTCTAAAGCACATGAATGTTAAGCAATTAAAGAACGTCAGTCCTGTGCCTGGTTTCTGCTCACGGCAGTCACCTGCATCTGTTGTATGTTTGTAAGCATTTACACTAAAGGGAACTTAAGAGATCAGAATAGCTGCTGTGCTCAAACACGTTTTATGGGTATGTTTCAAAGCTGATTGTATTCTTTTTAAGATTTATTTATTTTTATGTGTATGAGTATTTTGCTTGCATGCATGTCTATATACCGAATGCATGCAGTACCCACACAGTCCGAAAGCATTGGATCTGGAACTGGAGTTAGGTGGTTGTGAGCCGCCTGAGGGTGCTGGAAACCAAACCCGGATCCTCTGGGAAAGCCGCCAGTGGTCTTAACTGAGCAGTCTCTGCAGTCCCCTGTCACTGTCCCCCATCTCAGGGTGTCCTTCCTTCCCTCCCTCCCTCTCCTTGTCCTGTGATTCTGGGAACCAAACCCACATGGTAAGCGAGCACTTTACCTCTGAACTTCACCCCATCCTTTGTTCTAGTGAAGTACCACAAGTACCAGGTAGCCCAAGTTGGCCTGCTCCCCCTTAGTTGGGGTTATAGTTGTATTCCATCATGCATGATAGTGTCACCTAATCTTTTTTTTTCTTCCTTAAGGTATGGAATATCATTACTGGGAGGATAGAAAGAGACTTCACTTGCCATCAGGGTGCAGTACTTTCTTGTGATATTTCCTCTGATGCTACCAAGTTTTCATCTACCTCTGCCGATAAGACTGCAAAGGTTAGTCAGTCCCATGAAGTGTCCATATGTAAAAGCTGCAGTATTGGTTGTGTATCATGAGTCCAAACAATGTATATGCCAAGAGAGTGACATTCCATTTATATATCTGTATCATGTGTATTTTTTAAAAAAAGATTTATTTGTTTGTTTATTATTTATTTATTAAGTGTTCTGCCTGCATGTATGCATGCAGACCAGAAGAGGGCACCAGATCTCATTACAGATGGTTGTGAGCCACCACGTGGTTGCTGGGAATTGAACTCAGGACCTCTGGAAGAGCAGCCAGTGCTCTTAACCACTGAGCCATCTCTCCAGCCCGTTACATGTATTTTTTAAGAATTTATTTATTATTTTGTGTGTGTATGTGATAGAGGGAGGGAGAGAGAAGGAGCCTGCACGAGTCACACTGTATGTGTGGGGGTCAGAGGGCAGCTGTTGAGAGTGGGGCTAGCGACACCCTTGCTGAGGCCTCATTGTTTCTGCTGCCTTTGCTGTGCTGTCCACTCCAGAGCCAAGAGCGTCCAGATGATTTCCTGTTTCACCTCCCACCTTGCCGTAGGAATGCTGGACCACAGATGCCACTCCATCCGGCTTTTTACTCCAAGTTAGGTTGTTGGGCACGTGAGGCCCATGTACTGGCTGAGTCGTCTCCCTGGCCTCTGTCTCATATTTTAGGAGATACGGTGCTAGGAATTGCACTCCCTTGATCTTCAAATCATAGGTGTTATTGTTTCAATTCTGCATACATAGAAACTAAAGTTAGAGGCTCATGTGAGCTGTCCTAGAGCACAAGTCTTTGGAGAAAGCCTACCCATTCGCATTCACTTGGCATTGGATAGATTAAAGGAGTAACATTTAATAATTCAGATTCTCTTTTATGGAGAATTAAGATTATGAAAAAGATTCTTATTAATTTTTCAAATTTTTAATTTCTTAATTCTTAGATTATTAAGAAAAATAAAAAAGTTTTTTATTTATAACTAATCAAATGGAATCTGCTGTTCAATAAAAGTAACTGGCACGCTTTTATTCACTTAGTCTAAGTGGATACTTTTGAAATTCTCTGAATTGTGACTCTCAGCACAGTGTTCTCTTCCCTTTCCTCCATCTTTGTTAATGACGTCATTCTCTAGCTGTCTTTGGTGCTGTTGGTCATTGCTCAGTGTTTTAGTTCCATGTGCTTTTCTTTGTTTCCAGAGACCATGCTTTCTGCCCTGCTGACTGCCGGCAGCTTCTTTACTTTATCCTTCTGGTGATTGACCTGTCTGTGATTTTTCAGGCAAGCACTTTGGCCCATCACTTTCTGTTTTTCATCCATTTCCTCTGTGTCTGCCTACCTCCGCCTCTTTTCTGGTGTGCAAGTGGTTTTAGAGCTCTGTTTCTTGTTGGCTCCTCGGTGAAGCCTTTTGTGACTCCCACATTAGCTGCTCTCCCTTCAGAGTTTACATTATGTTTTGTTTGTGTTTTTTGGAGCATTTCAGCTGTTCACAAAGTGTTCATGAGCCTGCTTCCTTGATTGAAGTGTAAACTTCAAGAGACTGTGCCTACTTCATCTCGTACCACACGTTCTTAGTTGGTTGTGCCCGGAACATGCTAGTTTTCAGTGGGTCCTGGCTAAATGGTAATAACAGAGCCACAGAGAGAACATTGGAAGGACAGCAAGCTGGGTCTGGAGATGTACAGCCGTAGGATCAGGAGATCTCTTTGAGTTCAAGGCTAGCTTGGGACCCTGTCTCAAAAAAGCAGCATTTGGCCCGCAATAATACAGCAGTATGTTGGCAAGAGCTTATGTCCTATGCAATCACATTTAATCATCACACCATAGGAATCATTGTCCCTATTTTGCAAGCACAGATACTGAAGCTTGAGAAGCCATGAGTTTTCTTAGGTCACAAGGATTTAGTAGAGTGGGCTGCCTGCCTCGCCCTGTAAACTGTTCTTAACTGATTCTCTTTTCTTCGTGTGGGCATTAATACAGAGATGAGAAAGTTGACCTAGGTTCTTGAGTAATTAATTAAAGGAAGTCCCAAGAAACTGACAAGGTTGCAGGTTGGAGCTGGGCATCTTATGGAATTTTAGGCACCACCAAATGTGTTAACCTTGCTTGTGATTGACTTTTTGGCTGTGTAGCCTTTAAGGCGGGCCTTGTACTTGTTTACCATTCCTAAACAATCCTAATTGCCTTCCAGATCTGGAGTTTCGAACTGGCTTCCCCTCTTCACGAGTTGAAGGGTCACACCGGCTGCGTCCGCTGCTCTGCCTTCTCTCTGGATGGTACCCTTTTGGCAACTGGAGATGACAACGGAGAAATCAGGGTAGGGGTGCTGACTGAGGTAGCATTTACCCTTCAGTGTGGGCTGGCATTCTTCTCCACACTGAGGTTGTTTGTGTGAGGGTTTTTGGAGATTCTTGTAATGTAGTTTAGGCTGACCTGAACTCACTGGTCTGACTCCAGCCTTCTAAGTCCTGGAATTACAGCAGCTTACCACCGGAGGCCTCTTTCAGTGGGACAGGTCCTGGGGTTAGGGTTAGATGGAGCGTTCTTTGCTCTGTCTCTTGTGCACACCATGTTCATAGCCACCTTCACAGCAGGGAAGACTATGTTTCAGAGGTAGATAAGTCAGGTGGAATGATGGTGCACCTTTAACGCGACACTTAGAAGGCAGAGACAGGTGTATCTCAGCTTGCAGCCAGCCTGGTCTATTATATAAAATGAGTTCCAGGCCATCCTGGAACTACATGATAAGACCCTGTCTCAAAAACAAAAACAAAACAAAAAGTAAGTAAGTATAACACAAACATTTCCTTTCTTTCCCTTCTTTCCTTTTTTGTTTTTGTTTTTCGAGACAGGGTTTGTCTGTAGGTTTTGGAGGCTGACCTGGCACTCACTCTGTAGATCAGGCTGGCCTCAAACTCACAGAGGTCTGCCCGCCTCTGCCTCCCAAGTGCTGGGACTAAAGGCATGCGCCACCACTGCCTGGTCTGACACAGACATTTTCTACATATGTGAATATGTATGTGCAGTTGGTTCTCTGCTGTTAGTTTGTGAATGATTTGTCTTAATTTTTAATGTAAACTGAAGGTTCTTTTAAAAAAGTGGCAGAATTTAGAGAAACTGGTTTTGTAAACCATTGGTTCATAAATGAATTGCAAATTCTGCTCCTCTCATTGTTTGAAGTAGAGATCTTTTTAGAACTCTACCCACTAGTCAGCATTTTCAGAGTTTGTTAATGAAGCTCTACTGAGGGTCACATATCTGTCAGGGAGTCTAAATGAGCAGCCAGCTTTTATCACCCTGGACTTCTGAAGGTGCACATGTAAACTTTGCCAGCTTGACCTAAGAAACAGTAGAGTTATGGCATGCTATTCTTTTGTGTCTATGGAAATAAAGGCTAGTGTCATGTGTTGCATGCTAAAAGATCAGAAACCATGGGAAAGCAGCCTGATCACTTATTAGAAGACTTGTACAGAAAGTGAGAAACTTGAGCCTGGGGATAACTGCTTTGGGAACTAGTTTTTTGGTTTTTGTTTTTTTCTTATATGTGTGGGTATTTGGCCTACGTCTGTGGTATATATCACATGCACGCCTGGTTACCAAGGAGGTCAGAAGAGAGTGTCTGGTCCCTGGCACTGGAGTTACAGATAGTTGTGAGCTGCCATGTGGGTGTTGGGAATTGAAGATGGGTCCTCTGGAAGAGTAGCCAGTGCTTTTAATTGCTGAGCCGTGTCTGCAGCCTTGGTAACCAGTAATTTTGAAGAGGATGTTTTTACTTCTGGTGGTGGGCTTGTTGTTTTTGTTTGTTGGTTTTTAAGCAGAGGCATTAAAAGTCAAGGAGGATTCTGTGTAATGCAGAGAAACAGGAGGGTTTGGACTTGCAGGGGTCTACCAGCCTACTGGCAATGTCACAATTCCTTTGCTTTGATCTGGCTTATTCACACGGTGTCTAAAATTTCAGTGATAAACACCTTTAATTTTTTAGTTTTTGGATACAGAGTCTCATCACGTTGCCCAGGGCTTGAACTCAAAAATCTTCCTACTTTGGTCTCCCGAGCAGCGAGAATTAGAGGTGTGAGCCACCATGCCTGCTTTTCTCTCTTAACTCAGGGGAAATTGATAGCATTCTGATCCAGCATGCTATACTTTTTTGTTTTTAAAGAAAGGTTTCCAGAAATATGACAGGTGATGTGTATGTGTACTTTGAAAGGGGTAAACTTCAGGGTTACCCTGTTGACGAACTGTGCCTCATGTTTATGTAGATATGGAATGTCTCAAGTGGCCAGCTCCTTCATTTGTGTGCCCCGATTGCAGTAGAAGAAGGGACAGCTACCCACGGAGGCTGGGTGACTGATCTTTGCTTCTCTCCCGACAGCAAAATGCTTGTCTCTGCTGGAGGATATCTTAAGGTAAGAGTTTCTCAAGGATATGAAGAAACAGCAGTCTGGGTGGTACTTGAGCGGTTTCCACGTAGTGGTTTTCAGTTGGGTTTCCTATAACCCAGCACAGTAGAGGGGGCAACAGCTTTGCGGTGGTGGCTGACATCCGGAGGGCTACTTTCTCCAGGTCTCTCGGCGTCCTTGGTGACAGCAGCAGCAATGGGAGAGCTCTCACCTCCCATCTGAACCCACATGAGCCAGCTTCATCTCCCATGGCACTCAGCATGGGATTATTTGAAAAATATATTTGTGAAATTTTCTTTCTTGATAATAATAGTAGCAGCATATAATTTATTATCTACAGACTTTGATTTTTATCAGCCCAGCAATCAGTTTTGTGATGCTAAAGTTTTACTACCTTTGGGTTATAGATGACCAAAACTGATTTTCATGGAGGTTATCACTTTGTGATTGGTAACTACAAGGGCCAAGACGCCTCACAAGTTCTTTGACTCTTCTGCTGCCTCTAACAGGTTGGCTTGTGCAAACTCAGTAGTGACTATTGGCCAAGGTTTAAGCGAATAACAGGGCTCTGATGTCATTTGTTGGCTCATTCACCCATTCAGTAAGTCTGTGTTTAATGCCTGCTTTATGTCGTGGCACGTGATTAAGGCATGTCCTTTCCTAGTGGTGGCTAATGTCCCATACAGGAAGCAAATGGAAAATAAATGCAGTTCTTAAAGTGGAGGAGGGGCTGAGGGAAGTTTGCAGGAGGTAAGTGGAGGCAGAAAGGAGAGGAATGGAAAGGTCAGTTCTACAAGGGGTAGAAAGGATACTATACATTATGCTGACCACTGGACTTGCGGTAAGCTTTGTCATTTACAACTGGTCCCATAACGTTTTGTGAGGCGGTTGAAAACAGCCACATGAGAATGATCTCATTCCCTCATAATGCAGATGTTCAGATGTATTTGAATGGAGTCTTTGGTTATACTGGTCCCATATTATTGCAGTTTGACTCAACATAAACATCTAGCTTATAGAAGATAAATGAGGGGATGTTTTTAGTTTATGAAGCGATACCTCTCCAGCCTGCATTGGAAACAAGTATCGAAATGTTGTATTAGTGGATACCTTTTGAGGCACACTTTCATTTAGTCATCAAGAGCTCCTGGACTGTTGAAGCCACTTGTCCTTTAGTGCAAAGACAAATGACTCTGAGCTCTGAGAATGGTGCTTAGAGGAGAGATGTTGCTGTCTTTGTGTTGGAAGCTGAACATCTTTCCTTGTGGAAACTTAACTACCCAGCCTTGACACCAAGCTTCCAGAATCCCTGAGCTCTGTGGAATGTCACTGCACAGCTGTGTCTGTCTTTTAGGATATTGTCAAGATCAATGAGCAACCGTGACATAAAGCTGAAGGATGCCTCTGCTGCTGTACTGTAAAGATTATGTCTCGAGGCTGGAAGAAGCTATGCCTGTCTGTGTAGTCTATGTATTGACATGACAATCAGTACTTTGCCTTCTGTTTGATCACTAGCATAGATAAACTAATTATGTTATAACCCAGCCTGCATCTACCCAGCGTGCTAATGAGACCATCCAAAGGCACAAAACAAATTAGGAGTAAGAAGAAACAGCTGCTGGAGTGGCCAGGAAATTAGGCATTTTGGGTCTGTTTACTTTAAAATCTGAGCAATATAAATTGAGTGTCAGTAAGGTGCGAGGTGTCTTACCTTTCATTATAAATGAAAACATAATATCACTTAGCTTTTGCTGGACACATACCACTGAAAACAGATTGCTTGAATGGCAAGTTTACATTAATTCATACACTGAAGGCAAAGGCTGATTGCAGATGTGGAACCCAGGGTCATAAATGAAGGTGTTTTATACTCAGAAGAGTATTGTTATGACTGTGGAGTGGGTGCAGCGACAGAATGCCTGAGTTCAGACCTCAGCTCTGCCACTCACTTGTTTTGAGACTTTCCACAAGGTTGTTTTACCTCTGTTTGTTCCAGTTGCTTTGTCTATAAAATGGGTACAATGATAATATGTGCCATGTTATAGATACTTCTTACAAATCTTTTGCTCCTATACGTACTCAGGCTTACTCCACTATCAGCATCAGACATTCATGTTTATTATAACTTAACCTGATACATCATCAGCACCTAACGTGCGTTGTTGATGTGAGGATAAGGCTGGGTGTTGCACATTTTATGCATTTGGATAAATCTCTAATGGCATGTATCTACAACTATAGGGTCATATTAAGCAATTCACTACCCTGAAAGTCCTGTGTTTGCCACTGAAATCTTTTATTTCCAAGCCATATTGAACCGTGGCTGCTGTACTATTTTTAGGTTAAGGAGTCCTTTTTAATGGCGTGTGTGGCAGACAGACACTATATTTGGAAGTCAGAAACTGTTCTGCCTCTGCTGTCCATTTCCACTGTCCTCTAAGTCTTGATTGTCTCAGAAACCCAGTCTGCTTATTTTTAAAGTGAGGCAGGTGGGTCTAGGAGATGAACTCTACAAGTCCTAGTCACTGAAAGCTAGTCCTCCCGGGCTAGAGTGAGTTCTTTGTGCTTTGGCATATGGCGCTATTTTTGGAAGTGTACGCTGCTGTAGTGAACTTTACCAAACCCCGTGACATACACATTTACCAGACCCTACTACTATGAGTAAAGATAATACTCAAACCTGTCTCATGGCGAGACGGAATGTTAGGCTCTATTCTGAATACATAGATGAGAATATTGTTGTGTGTTTGTGACTTTCAGGCTCTTTTGCACTGTAGGCCTTGTCTCTTGCCCTCAGTTTAACTCTGAGATAGGACAGTAAGTTTTGTGAATACCATTTCATGAAACTAGTGTTATATACTCTCCATGAATTTAGTGAAGGGTGTGGTTAGAGCACCTGCTTCGTTAGAGGTGACTGGTATTCAGCATACATTGTCACATAGCAGCCTACATCACCCCTGGAGAAGAGGGGTCGCTAGGAAGACTGTTCTCCTCCTCGCCTGTGCCATGAGCAGTCTGGGTGTCTGTTGGAGTACTGTCCATGGCTATAGAAGGGTGTCTTAGTGCAGAGAAGCAGTCATGTGCGTATTCCATGGAGAAGACGTGCACACAGCCCCACCCCTCCCCTCGCTGTGTTGTCAGCTCTCTAGTGGTCGTTGCAAATGGCCTTTGGGGCAGACATGGGCTGTGAGGCCATCACCAGGGTTAACCAACAAAGGCTAGTGAAGTTCAGCTGCCATTCCTGCTCATTGCTTGGCTTAGGAGTTAGTAGTAGTTGGGTAAAGGACATGGCTGGCACTACAGATGGCCGTGAAGTGTAATTACCAGTCTAATGCAGGTTTGTTTTTCTCTGAACAGTGGTGGGATGTTGTCACCGGGGACCCCTCACAGACCTTCTACACAAATGGAACGAACCTCAGGAAAATACATGTGTCCCCTGACTTCCGGACATATGTGACTGTTGATAATCTTGGTATTTTATATATTTTACAGGTTTTAGAGTAAAATGGCTAAGCATAAATGTAGTTCAGCTCTTTAATTTTGAATTGGAAAAAAATTGAAACTGTACATCAACATTTTATAATACTGTGAATTGTATTGTAGTATTGCATTCATTACAGAAGTGTTTATGGCTGAATGAGTAATGTTAGTTTAGCTGTCTCTACAAATGAACATACTTTTACTTTTTTATAGTCATCACTGTTATTAACAAATGAACATACTTTTACTTTTTTTATAGTCATCACTGTTATTAACAATTTGTTGTTAACATGCAAATGGATGTAAATATGTACCTTGTTACACTATTGGTAAACTTCTCCGATGCATTCAAATTGGTTGGCATAATTAATGAGAACCATCTGAAGGAATTCTGTGTGTTGACGCTATCATTCATTATGCAGGCTATGCTGCAAGGTAATGGTGGTTGGTTTTCTGAGCCACACTTACCCCCCCCAGGGGGTATGGTTTTCCAAATACAATCATGTTGCTTATTTGCACTCTTTAAATTTGCTTTAAAATACAGTGTCTTTGTGCACAGTCTGCAACATTTCTTTTGACAACTCAGTGAGTGAGTGTTGTATTTCAGGTTCTTTCCATGAGCTAAAGTCTTGTGGTAGAGAGATTACGTTTCTCTCTGTAGCCAATGGCAGCCTTGTGTGTGGCTGAACTCTGGTTGCCAGCGTCTGAATTGGGCACCACCCTGCTCTCTGTTTTGTTTATTGTAAAGACAGGGTTTCTTTGTCCCGACTGTTTTGGAACTCACTCTGTAGATCAGGCTGGTCTCAATTCAGAGATCCTCCTGCCCTAAAGGTGTGCACCACCACCATCCAGCCCTCTGTTTTTTACTTATTACTTGACTAAGCTTAACCCTCTGTTCCATAGTTAGCTGTTAGTAAGTCAGTGAAATGTGAAATGGTAGAACATACTTCTCCTTTAATCTGTTTACTTTTTATCAGTGCTGTTCTCGTTATGACTTTCAAGAGAATTGTTATGATTTCTGTTCCACAGAAACCTCTGAGACCCTGGAGGTGATGGCTTTCTCTTTCCCCTCACTTCCTGCTTCCTGCCTCCTCCCCCAACCCTAACCCCCATTTTTCCCTGGGAAATGGGAACTCATTATATCGTGGTGATTGTATTACGTAGACCCTGTGGTCCTCCTGCATGAGACCCCTAAGTAGCTGGGAGAGACGGCTTTTAATGCAGAGAAAACTTTGCAACATCAGTAACTAGTTTTGTTTTTAACCTCCTTTTAGAATCTTTAGCTGAAGCTTAAATTTAATTACTTTTCCCAGAAATATTAAGGACAATAGAGATTAATTAGTAATAGATTAGTTTTCATTATTTTGTTAGTTTTTTTGAGACAGGGTTTCTCTTTATAACACACTAGCTGTTCTGGAACTTGCTCTGTAGACAGGCTGGCCTTGAATTCACAGAGATCTACTTGCCTCTGCCTCCTGAGTGCTGGGATTAAAGGTGTGCACCACCACTGCCCAGCAATAATAGATATAATTTTCAAATAAAATAGAAATCAAACATCTTCCTTCTGCAATAGGAATTAATGAGTGGTAGCATTAGTAGTTGATAGTCAGTGAAGCTTTTCTGTTGTCAGTGCATATCACTAGCTGTGGTGTGGCAGAGGGGATAAACCACTAATGTAGCTTTTATTTCTTTGTGGTGCTAAAGATCAAAAGCAGGGGCCTTGACCATGTTAGACAAGCACTCTGCCACTAGGTACCCCAGCTGTAGACGAGCTTGAGATTAGCTAGACCCGCATGGCATTTGCAGGAACTGTGATTAGAGTGAACCAGAGTTTGGACAGAGTTAAGGATGTTTATTTGTACCTTTTTTTGGTTGGTAGGTTGAGGAACTAGTTTACACACTTACTGTGATTTAAGCAGATGTGATAAGTGAAAAATCTTAATTTTATAAAAATAAATATGTGAATAGCATGTCTTGCTTAGAATTTGCTGCGAATGACTCAAACTTCGCTCCTCAGATAACGCTCATGGGTTGTCTGCTCTGTAGCTGGGTACTGGAAGTGAAATAGTAAACACCAGTTTGTTAAAGTCTTGGCCTTTGTCTTAAACATAAAGTGCAGTGGGAGGCAGAGTAACACAAACAGGGAGACAGCTGTAGCTTGCGTTGCAGCTCCCAGGGCTGGCGAGAGGGCGTGGCTTGTGGGCTGTGGATGAGCTCTTTGAGCTCTTTGCTTGCTGTACTTTCTATGTGAGCAATCACATTGGACTTTGTATATGTAAAGGTGGTTTGTATCAAGTGTTTTATGTACTTTGAAGACTTTTTGTATTTATAACTTACATGTGTTAATTATTTTTTTTTTGCCTTGGAATACTGTTTAAACATGAATTTTAAAAACAAATAAAATTTCTGAAGGTTTTTGAGAAGCATTTTGATTGCAGACTTGTTGCTTGCCTTTTCTCTGTTGTTGGAAGATGATTAAACAGCTTTCAGGGGTGGCCTGGGGAGATGGGCTCAGTTATTGCCAAGATGAGGACTTGAGTTTGATTCTCAGAACCCATACAAAACAAGCCTATGATTTCAGCACTGGGAAGGCGGAGACAGGGAGCTCCCTAGCATTTGCTGACCAGCCAGTGTGGCTGACTTGAACTCCAGGTTGACAGAGAGACACTGTCACCAAAAATAAGGTGGAAAGCAGTCAAGACCACGATCTGATACTGGCCTCAGGCCTTCACACACACGTGGACATACCTACATGTTCATGCACACGCGCTCGGGCACACACACATACACACACACATACACACAGACTGTCTGCCTCCTGTCTGTCTGCCTCTCTCCTTCTCCCCTGCACGAAGGCCTTGAATTGCTTTAGTTTGTGCTTTTTCTTGAAATGTCCCCATTTCTCTGTCAATTGTAAAAGCCGGCTTTGCTGGATACAGCAGTTCTGGTTGGAGGAGTTTTGTTCCATGCTAACCTGGCTTTTCAGGGGTTTTGTGAGAGGTGATCTTACTGTGATTTGGTTCCCTGTGTGAGTTGTTTTTTTCTCACAGTACTTCATATTGTTTCTTTGTTCCTTTAGCATCTTTAATGCTGTGGAGAGGTGGTTCCGTGGTCATGTCTATTTTAGAGCTCTGAATGTCTTTTGTACTCCAATGCCATTTCTTCCCTTAGATTTGGAGAACTTTCTATATATAAAATGTATGTTTTAAATACTTTATCTGTTTGTTTGCTTTTAATCTCAAACTCTACGCCATATATTCTTAGGTTGGTCTCTTGGTCATAACCCAGAGTTCTTAGAAATTGTGCTCATATTTGTTTGCCATTATCACAGTTTTTATTGTGTATATTCATAGCTACTGTGCTATATATGGATGTTTTATATAGTATCTGCTTGCTATATTGAGCTTTTCCGCTCCAAACCCCTTGCTACGTACCCTTTACCCCTCCTGTTCTCTCATGTTTGGTCCCCTTTATTCTACGAAGCTCTTTTCTAGAACTTCCATCCCATTTATAAATACATGATTTGATGTATCTATTAAAAAATCTGGATGAGAGAAAACATGTTTATCGGGAGACTGACTTAATTCACTTACTGCGATTATGTCCAGTTACATAGATTTTTCTGCAGACATAATCTCCTTCTTTGGTGCTGAGAATAATTCCATTGTGTATACATAACCTTGCTTTCTTTGTCCACTCTGTTGTTGGACGCTTAGAATGGGTCCATAGCTTATCTAGTATTTTCATTTTTTTTTGAGACACTTCCATAATACTTGGTTTAGTTTCTGTCCCCTCCAGCCATGTATAAAGTTCCCCTTTGACCACATTGTTTTGTTTAGTTTAAGGTTGAGACTATGGTCTCACTATGTAGCCCTGGAACTGGACTAGGCTGGTCTTGAACTCACAGTGATTTACTTGCCTCTGCCTCTAAGTTGCTGGAGTTAAAGGTATACACCACCTGCTGTGTTGTATGTTTTCTACATAAAGGTCATTCTGACTGGGATGAGACAGAATCACATTGTCCTTTAAATTCTTCTTTCTCTGGTGGCTAATGAGGCTTAGTCAGCACTCTAGAGGTGGGGGGACCTGGGGGATGGAGCCAATAAACTAGGTGGACCAAAGTCTCATGCAAGAGCCAACTTTATTCAGAGCATCGGACAGTTTACCCTTTGAGGGTTAAGAAGAGTCCATGAGTAAGGTATTCAATCACAAGGACAGGCTGCATTTGTCAGATAAGCCACAAGTGACAAAAACTTGTTTTTCCATAGAGACATATACATAAATAACAATAGTTACTTATAATGAATAATCTGAAGTAAACTGACTCATACCTGCTACACCTGGGAAGAGCATGAACACATATTCCAAGAACAATTCCATGGTTTTGAGGAAACTGTCAAAGACTCTTGACTTGTTTTCTTGGAAATTTCTCACAAGCACTCGGGATTCTCACATGACAGTGTTCTGACAAGCTTGGACATTCTTATATGTTTGTTGGTTATTTATATTTCATTGTTTGAAATCTGTTCATTAGCCCATTTACTCTCTATTTCCTTTATTATGAGACAATTATGAATTGGAATTATTCCATGATTTCTTCCTCAAAATGTTTGTTATTTGTATATAAGAAAGTTACTGTTTTTTTGTGTTATTCTTTTACTTTTGCTAAAGGTGTTTACTAGATACAAGAATTTTTTGGAGAAATCATTCCATCTTCAAATAAGAACACTCTGACACTCCCCCCCCCCCATTTGTATCCATCTTATTTCCTTTTCCTGTCTTACTGCTCTAGTTAAGACTTTGAGCATCACAGTGAGTAAGTGTGGACAAAGCACACATTCTTGTTCCCTTCTCAGTTTTATCAGATTGTACTTTGAGTTTTCTCCCACGCAGTATAATGTCATGGTAACGTATTGTATGAGATCTGGGCCCTTGACTATTCTGTCAGGACTTCTATTATGAAGAAAGTCGTTGGCTTTTCACTAAATGCCTTTATTGAGATGATCGTATGATTTCTGTTCCTTTTAGACCCACTCCATATTTCCTTTAAACGTATTTCCAGTATTATTTTCACTCAGTTTTTTTTTTGTTAGTAAGTTTGTTCTTTGACAGTTTTTCTTTAACCATGCATGTTTATGCATTCTGATTGCCCTCACTCTCTGCCTCTCTCCCTATCCCCCTTTCCCCCCTTCACCCCGCCTCTTACAAATACCTTCCTCACATTCATGTCGTTTTTTAAAAAAATTGTGATCAGGGCCATCTGGTGACTTATTTAAAAATGCTGCTGTATTTCCATTTCCCTTACATTAATTTAGTTTGTAACCTGTGGTAGTTTGAACATAATTGGCTCCCCATAATCTCATAGGGAGTGGCATTATTAGGTGGAGTGTCTTTGTTAAAGTGGGTATGGAGGAAGTGTGTGTCACTGTTGGGGGCAGGCTTTGAGGTTTCCAATGCTCAGGATACCAGACAGTGAGTCAGCCAACTCCCTGTTGCCTGCAAGATGTAGGACTCTTGTCAAGTGTCACCGGCAAGATGGCGGCCGCGTTGGCCTTCCACCAGCTGCTGGCTCTCCCTAGGGCTGCATGGGGTTGCAAGCAGGGAGAAGATTATGCACATAGGCCTGGTTTATAGTGGGGGGAAAAAAAAACTACATGATGATTTGCTTTGTAGATTGTCAGAAAGAGGTGAATTGCTTTGATAGCAGAACAGCCTGTGAATGAGGTGGACCATGGCGTCTTAGCCTGAGATGGAGGGGGTGGTGCCCTGGGCCACCCCAAGGTGTATATAAATTTGGCCAAAGAAATAAAAGCAGGGATGTGTGGCTAGTGGCCTGCTATTCAAGCAGCACTGTCACCAGTGTAGGCTGTGTCCTGGTTCTCTAACACCTGTGGAACAGCTCCATGTCAGGTGTTTTGGTGTGAGGTCACTGCAGTGACCCTTCTTATGAATAAAAGACGCTACCATCATGGGGCAAAGAGATGTAGGACTCTCAGTTCCTCCAGCACAGCTGCCTGCAGGCTGCTATGTCCCCTGCTATGATGATAATGGGCTGAACCTCTGAAACTGTAAGCATGCCACCACAACTAGGTGCTTTCTTTATAAGAGTTGCCATAATCATGGTGTCTCTTCACAGCAATAAAAACTGAACTAAGACACATCCATTCCTTATTGTGCAAACTTTTTTATTCTCGCTTGCATTTTTCTCTTTGTAACATTATCCTTCCTTACCCCCTCTATCTCTGTGGTGTTTGGCCCTGTTAGTCACTCTGCCATCTTGAGCTCTGTCTCTTGACTCTCTTACTTTGGCCAATTATTCTCTCTCTTTGGGGATATTTCTTGCTCAGTTTCCCCATAACAATGATATTATTAAGACCTTTCCTGTTGTATGTTGGTGTCTTCTTATTATTTTTGAGATTTCAAATGCATACCATAAAATTGCCATAAGTAATAGTAATAATATTACTATCATCAAGTATTTTAATATTTTAAAGACTAAACCTGAATGTTAGGGCAGTGACATGTATTTTCTTGGCATTCTTATTTCTGGAGACCTAGATGGCAGCCAGAATCTGATTTTCAGTTAAATAATTTATACAGTTAAAAAATAGTCCGTACTCCCAAGAAAATGATTTAAATCATATCTTAAAAAAAAAAAAAAAAAACAAGAAGAAGTGTTGTCCTTGCTTAGTCATATTAGTGAATTATGAAACCATTTTTTGTATTAATTAAAACATTTTTATCTAATACTTCATGAACTATATAAACCAGCAAAATTACCTTAGTAAAAATAGAATACAGCTTTGGGAACAATTGTAACTTCTTTTACCTAAGATTACTTTACAGAAGATACAGTTGTATATCCCCTCCCCAACAAGAAACCCAAATCAGTAGAGAGGTTTACAAAATCCTAAACATATTAATCTTTGTGAACCTACCCTAGGTACTTTTTAAAAAATCCTTCAAACCCACAGAAACAGCTGACCTGAGCAAGAGAGAGCTCATGGACCCCAGACTGATAGCTGGGAAACCAGCATAGGACTGACCCAGACCCCCTGAACATGGGTGTCAGTTAGGAGGACTGGGCAGTCTATGGGGCCTCTAGTAGTGGATCAGTATTTATTCCTAGTGTACAATGGACTTTGGGAGTCCATTCCACTTAGAGGGATACTGTCTCAGTCTAGACACATGGGGGAGGGCCTAGGACCTGCTCCAAATGATATGACAGACTTTGAAGACTCCCCATGGAAGGCTTCACCCTCCCTAGAGAGCAGAAAGGGAATGGATTGGGGGTGGTGAGGGGCAGGGGAGAAGGGACAGGGACCTGGCATTGACATGTCAAAAAAGCTTGTTTCTAATTTAAATAAAAAAAATAGAAAAAAAGCAAAAAAATCCTTCAAGAATTTCATAGTTCATACATGTG